TGCTCGGCAGCATTGGTGCAATGCAAGACAATTATTTCTGGACCGGCTTCAACGTTCCTTGTGTCGTAGTAGGTTTTTACCCTTTTAAACTGGTACAAAAACGGACACCTTTATTCAAGGCATCATGTTTGCAATAACCACAACACAAGTAGTCAAAAAAGCAAACAAAAAGAAGCAACTCTGATAATGATAATAATATGCACTGTCCTTGAAGTTGGTTGGTCCACACCCGAGAAGGCTTTCTTTAGAGCCTAGTCCCCATTGGTGTTGGACCAGATGACACCAGAAGGCGTACAACTCAAACACAGTGCAATATCAGAGTCTTGAGAGGTCGGGGTAAGCATTTACACTATGAGATCTCTTTTAAAGGTGTCAGTTTTTGTACCAGTTTAAAAGGGTAAAAACCTACTACTATATTTTGCCACTGGTAAAAGAGATCTCATAGTGTCCCGTGTGTCATCAGCAGCGCCAGGTGCTCGCTTGAGCCAACGATGGCGAACTGCGCGATGTTCACGTCACCGTTTTTCCGAGTGAGGAATCCTGTAAATAATAAGACGCACGTCTTTGCCTGTGATGTATTGCAAGAGCGGACATTTAGAGGCACCCCACTGATCTCTGAAGCCCCTCGGCGTTGTTCCCACAACAGCTGAGTGAATACCGAGACAGCGGTTGGCACCGTATCTCACAGAGGACCCCGAGTGATACAATAGTGAATATTGAATAGTGAATTCGCGTGTTGTGAGATGGGTGGCAGACATGTAGAGAGGCTGCATAGTAACATGCCACCCTATTGTATAGGGGCCGTCATAAATGACGTCACGCGATTTTGGACGATTTTTTACCCCCCCCCCCCCCGTTCGTCACCCGGCGTCACAAAAAGTCAGACCCCCTCAAATATGACGTCACAAAGCTCTGCCTGCCCCCCCCCCCCAAAAAATTAACATGCTTCAAATCGCTTTAAACTATTGTCATTGTAGTGCGTATTTAATGTGGCTCTGCACTGATGTTGTAGGAGAAAACATTTATTAAAACGTATATTTAATTAAGTAGAACGTGTTGCCTATATTATTTAAAGTTGCGCATTTTGATGTGACGTAACATTTCTCAACCCCCACACCCCAGGTGTGTGACGTCATTTATGGACGGCCCCATACCGCAGTATAATAGTATAACTTTACTGCGCGTGTGTGTTGCCCGCACGACTGTAAGGCTGTCGTCTTGCAAGGGACGCTGTGGTGTAGTGGTCAGCGCACCGGACTTGCAATACAGAGGTCACCTGTTCGACCACCCGGCGCGGCAGCTGAAACAATGGGACATTTTGTCTTGATTTGAAGCTTTCGTGACTGCAGGGAATCCATACTCTTTGGTTCTTTCGGTAAAGTCACGTAGTATATGTATTTTATTTCATACCCACGTGACATTACCGAAAGAACCAAAGAGAATGGGACATTTGGTTTTAATCCCCCCGCTTCCGTCCACCCAGCAGTCTCGAATTGGTACTCGGCAGTCGATCGGCTGGTCTGGTGCGGTGGTGCAGAGTGTGGGTACTGCCACCTCTTCCAAGATCCCTGGAAGAGTCGGAGCAATGACACCGTCTAGCGGAGGTCCTTCCACCAGCAGTGGCGCGAGCGAGCAATTGCAGGGCCGCGCCTTTACTCTGTAACCCCACCGTTGGCATGAGAGCGCATGCAGAAGTGTTTCTTTGACTGCAGCCGGATGGCGGTGCGGGCAGTTTTTTTTTGTAACGTGATTTCATGGACGCTCAGATTTTAAAATGCTGACAACTGCACCACCCCCCCTCCCTCCCTCCCACCAACTCAATTTCAGCTCGACTTGCCTGGCGAGTTAAGCTCACCACCACGGCGTCACATCTGGATCTGTTACGGAAACAACTGGCGGATGAGAAAGAGGATGAGAAACGGCACGAGGAAGAGCGTGGAAAGGGAATAAATACACGACGCTCCAGGAAAAAGAATGAGAAGTGAAACCTCAGCGCCCGCGTGAAATCAAGCAACGGGGAAACCACGCCAGAGATCCCACAAGAAGCGTGGGGTTTGCCTACACCTCCCGTGTACGTCCCACTGGACATGCGTGGGGAAAAGAAGCTTCATAGCTCATCGGATTCTTACAGTCTAAATAACATTTCGGGGTCTGTGTATCGCCCTAGATTGTTTGAAACTCATTCCAGCAGTGGATTGGCCGTGACTGATGTTGATGATGACTTTCACGCATTGATGAGTTTATTTTCGCGCAGGGTAATAGGGCAATGAATGGAGACATTGTTGGAATAACAAAGCATGCCTTCACATTACAAGACGCACTTTTCTCCCTGAAAGTCAAACAAAAGTTGAGGGTGCGTCTTATAATCCGGTGTCAAAGACCAGCTTTGTATAACTTGATTTGTTGAACTTTATTCACAGTGGGCACGAGATTGGGGTGCGCCGTACTCTCCCGAACGCCTTTTTAATCCGGACAATCTTGGTGATTAGACTCGTGGCGTATTTTCTTTCCAGCCAGGACAACAGGGCGACTGGAAAATGTCGAGAGGCAAGCGCTCTGTTGCGCGAAGGTCGGCGTCAAATATAAATACACGACTGTGGGATAAAAATAGCGTGGCGGTAAGGCCATCGTGCTGAAGTGAGCACGCGTACTGTACGTGTTCTCACTGCACTGATGGATACAAGCATTCCTGTGCTGTGTTGGTCAATGGGGTATTTTAACCATACTTCACCACTGGGGTCGGTGAAGGGAGGAGAAGGCAGTACCGGCTCTGATACATTGAAGATAAAACTCTTGCAAAAAAATAGTCAACAGACTCAGATTGTTCCTTACATATAAAGGCCATTATTATTATACAACACCTTATTTCGTGCTAATAGATTGACTAACAATCGTAACGAATCAGAATAGGAGCCAGACGAGTTTACACGCCCATGTGAATGTTATTCACAGCAATTATTGACTGGAGACAGAAATCCATGATGGGCATGAAGGAAGGGATGGGGCAGACCCCGCCTCTGTACTCGGCATGGCGATGCCGAGCGGGAGAGGCTGTCAGTGGCTATGCCTCGCCACTGTTCAACGACAAAGTCACAGTTTATTACCGCCTGCATTATAAAACACGACGTTATAAACAGACTCAGAAGACCACTGCAACCGACTAAAAGAGACGCCGTGTTTTTTGTTCTAAAGGCTATGCCCAAAGGGCACACGAACGGTTAATTGATTTGTTTGGATTAAATATTGGGGGGTGGGCTGAAATTAGGACTCCTCGAATGAAAACAAGGAAGCGTCTGTCTTGACGACAGTGTCTCTCTGCTCAGACCGTCAGGATGTTCGTGCAAATTCCACATTCCTATGGCACACACAACAACCGCCATTCGCCACCAAGTGGTGGTGACGTCACCACGGCGCCTGTTCCAGGCTAGGTGCACCTTGAGGCCACGTGCAGTGTCGAACGCCCGCTGGCACGAGGTCACGGGGCAGACCCAGCAGGTGCCACGGGTCGACTGACTGAGATGACTGCTGGCCGATGCACCACCTGTGCCCCCTACTGTGCCAACTTGCTGTGTTTATACGCCCGGCGCTCCGCTCGTTGTTGTGAGCGTCGCTCCTCTGCCCTCCGTTGTTGCTGGAGGGCGACTGCCTCCAACTGCCCAGAAGCAGCGTCATTCACGAGCTTCGTCACACAGAGGCTGATCTTGACACCGCTGGTACCGGTCATCGGCAAGTCCACTCAGCAACACATCCTCTTGTACCACATCACTCCATCTTTTCTCGAGCCCGTTTAGCCCCCTCTATCCGGCCGAACACGCACACCAAGAGACACTCACTGCTGCCAACTCCCCACAAAGTTGCGTTCATTTTAGTGACCCCAGGGACATGATGGGCTGAGTTCTGCCGTAAACTTACAGCTGCAATGTTTTGTGAAGGTCACTGTGTTTGGCATACGATGACAAGTATTGCAAATGTAAAAAGCGTTGCTCACTCCCTTAAACAGGAACATGCGACGGGCAGTTACCAAAACAGTGGACATCTTCGCGAGCGCTTCTTGCAAAAGGATTTAAAATAACAGAGGCGTACAACTGTAAGTTTAACACGAAGGCTTTCGCGAACAATATTATTAATAATAACGTTGTTTGGGTTAGATCGCGTAAGTGTAAATGTTGTGTCGTAACCCTCCACTACCCGACACAGCTAGTAAGAGACTTGTCACGTAAACATAACGTTGCAATTAGTGACTACTTCAGCCCACCGGTGTGTTGGAGAGTAAATCCACAACATTAACAATTTGAGGAGTACGACGTTTCGCTGGTAATTACATCCAGCGGCATCGGGCTATTTGCCAGAATAAAAAAAAACTTTATTAAGAATTGTACGTTACTCGACGAACATTACCGGACATTGAAGGCAAGTTTTCAGAGTCTGCTCCGTGACGCAGGGCGTTTGTAGGGCTTAGAGGAATGTGTCTCTTAGCTCACCGTTGTTTAGCCTTGCGTGGAGGTGAGGGGCTGCCCCATCATTCTTCCAGACGTCACGGCCACTGTCCTGAGCCACTCATGGTGGGGACACCTTTGACCAGTGCCCTCTCAAAATCCGATATTTGGTAATTCCACCAAATATCATACTTTGACTCCCACAAAGGTCACATTTGAAGTTTAAAAGCGCTGTCCACCAAACTGCAGGACGTTCCCCCAGCACTGTCGCAATCACTCACGGTGACAATACAAAAAAAATAACGCCCCCTTCACACAAATAAACGTCGCAAACGGGATGTTGCTGGATCAATGTCGTCTAAGTCTACCAGGGCACAGGACCCATTGTCTTGGCTCCCACCTCCTCACTCCGACCCCGGAGCCACTGGATGTCGGTGCGAGCCCCCGGGCTCTCCTCCCATCAGCTTCCCACTCCCGCCCACCTCTCACTGTCGTCTAATGGGAGCTGCAATGCCTCTCTCTCCCCCTCCCTCCGCTTCCCTCCTCCTCCTGCTGCAGTGGCGTCAGCGCCGAGTGAGGGCTGGACTCTGGGGAGGGTGAATTTGGGTCGTGGGCTCAAGCGCCGTGGCTTGTGAACGCAGTTTTGTGCGAGGCAGTGTTCAAATATCGCGCTCGCCTGCGGTCGCCATATAGACCGAGCCGTGCCATGGGAATGTGGAATATCCGCAATTGGCTGTTCTGTTCTATTTGTGCATGTAGCTGTGTGTTCGGGAGGTCAATGGCAATGTCGATGATTGCTAGCCACCAGAGGGCTTCAGGAGGGAGAGTTTGTGTAGTCTTGCTATTCCTCCTCCGTTGAAGGATTGCAGACTACATTGGTTTATGATTTGGTCCATAGTTTGTGTTGCATAACCACAATCGCGGTGTGGTTTGTGTCTTTAATTTCCCATTTATGAAGATGTTCGCATCGGCCTGTTGATGTTCTCAGAATCATAATCTTTATTTAGAGTGGAGCCATCTGATGAGCTTTGGAGCTCGTTTTAACAGATGTTTAAATGTTCTGATGCGGTTGATGGGTTATACCACCAGTGTCTTCCAGGAATGTCACAGCCAGGTGCGATGATGTTTGGGTATCGAGTGAGCTGTATATTCTGGACGTCTGCGTTGTTCCGCTCTGTTCGCCAGCGTCCTTCCTGCTCTGGGCGAGATCCAAGGACGGTGACAGCAGCAGAGCGATCCCAGAAGGGGATGGATCGGAACTTGGCTCAATACGGCCGATGGGGATGGGTGATGCTCCACACGCGTTTGACAGTCGAGGCGTGTTGACCTGTGCCCGTGACATAAACAGCAGTGTACCGTTCGTTCTCATGTTTATTGAAACATTTCACCTGGAAAATCCCTTGAGATAGAAAATTGTGTTCACCGGCGAGTCCAAGGCATCAAGTGACGCCCACATAGCAACAACGTAAAGGCAAGTATAAAAACATTTTAAAATCTAGACCTTATACAGGCGATCAGACAATGCCAAACACATTCATGACAAAGTTCAATTCAGCATACACTTTCAATGCAATTGTTTCATATTATTTAAGTGCTGTATTAAAAAGATAACGCCCTACTGTGGTTAGGGAGAGCGACAAACCTCAAACTAAAAAAGTAATGCAGCTAGGCAAGCAGCCTGGCCATGGCCTCAACCAGTCCAGTGTTCTCACGGTCAGCGCCCAGCCAGCAGCCAGGGCCGTGCATCGTGGGGGATGCGGGGACCGGGTCAACTCACACCCCCGACGCCTTCAAACCAAACCTAAAGTATGACTTCTGGCACTGTACCGTCGAAGCGCGCCCCTTCCCCCTCCCCCCCCCCCGGATCGCGGGGCCCGGGGCAGTCGCCCCGATTCGCCGTGCCCTAGGGACCACTCTACGCACAGCACCCGGCACCCAGAGCAGTGCCTGTTTTGTCGTCGTCCATTGGCTCTCTGTGCGTGGGAAGGGAACCAACTTAGGGATGCAACCTTCCCCACGAACCTCGCCCAGTCGAGCTTGGGTCATTCTGCAATTATTATCATCGGCCATGATCTATCCACTGCTGGATGAAGGCCTCCCCGAGCCGTCACCATCACGGTCCTGCGGTGGTGTGCCACTCCACCTCGCACCGGGCACATCGGTTGATTCCACTGCTCCATGTCTGTGGGTAGAAGTCGTCTCCGTCGCTAATGTCAACCACCGGACGTCGTCTTTGCCGGCGCTGTGCCCTTCCCACGCCGATTGTCTATTACCCGAGCAGCGCGCGCGTGTTCTGTGATCCTCCGCGAGCCTCAAAATGTGCTGGCTGTCGCCTGATGAAGCTAGTTGTAATTACTGGCGAAACGTCGTACTCAGATTGTAAATGTTGTGGCTTGGCTCTCCAACACACCGGTGTGCTGTGACGAATTGGCACGTTCTGTTTATGTGACAACCCTTACTAGTTGGCTGTGTCGGGTGATGGCAGGTTTTAACGACACATATTTACGCGATCGAACCCAAAAACCTCTATTATGGAGCCCGCTACGTGTTAAACTGCGTGGCTTTCAAAGATTTCCGAGGACTTTGCGAGCCGCGAATGTCGCGTTGGGCCGTGCCCATCACCACGGCCGCGCCCCGCGGTTGCGCAGCCTCCGGCGTGCAGAGCGGTGCGAGGGAGTCGGCAAAGCGGCTTCGTAACTTCGACACGAGAGCCCCGGTCTCAACGTTTCCGCATTGGGCTACTCTCGCCAATTGCGATGATCGTGGTCTCTTCTCCGACGACAGTTCTCACCCGGTTAAACAAAACAAACTCGGACTCGTGGAAATGAAAAAAAAATAAACGTGCTCCGTATAAACCTGAGTGCATCCCAATCGTGCATGCAATATGACTTGCAAAGAAAGAAGCCAAGCACGTGTGTATGAGTGTGTGTGTAGCCATTAGTTGGTACAGTAGGAGGCACAGGTGGTACATCAGCCAGTCATCTCGGTCAGTCGACCCGTGGCACCTGGATCTGCCCCGTGACCTCCTGCCAGCGGGCGTTCGACACTTCACGTGGCCTCAATGTGCACTTGGCCTGGCACAAGCGTCGTGGTGACATCACCGCCACTTAGTGGCGAATGGCGGTTGTTGTTGTGTAGCCATCGCCGAGCGTGGAATCGATGGACGGTGAGAGGGCCGTCGAGCCTACGCGCCGATACAATGCGGCCGAGCAGGACATACGGGGCGCAAGTTTCAATTTGAGAATCGCAAAGTCGTCCTTCGGGCGTTGGCTTCCGGGTAGATGTCACTCAGCTTATTCTTGGAAACCATCACTTTGTTCCTGCGGATTAAACAGCGTCCGAGGGGCATCTTGTGATGGACGCGCGCCACGTGCTGAACGTACTCGCAGAAGCACATGCCCTCCTCCACGTGGCTGATGGCGGCTCCTCCCGCATCCTTCGGCGCGAAGCCCTTGTTCACCGCAGGTCGCGACGTAGGCGCACGAGAAGAGGCGCAGGGCCTTGACGAACAGCTCCTCGGTTTCCGCGGGCGTGAGCGTCAGGCACGCGTTCAACATGTTGCAGACGAGCACGCGGCACTGCTCCACGCACATGTACACGAAGAGCAGTTCCCCCCTGGGCCCGCATCCCGCCATGATGCTGCTCGTGATGAACACGCGGTTGGCCTCCCCGACCCGCTCGTGCAGCCGCGCCTGCTGCCTGCGGTACTCGTGCCGGGGCCACGTCCACACGTACCACATCGTCCCGAGCAGCAGCGCCAGCAACAGCACCAAGCCGCTGATTGACACGGGGAAGATTAGACGGTTTTCGGAAAATCGCATAATGACGGCTATAAAAGCAACAATCACCGCGAATATCAATAATTGCAACAGTCTTTTGCATTTTTCTCGTTTTTCATGTTCACTGAAGACGCTCGCCGTCTTTGGCATTTTGTTGATGATGAGCATGGCCTTCATGAAGTCCTGCAGGCTGACGATCCACCCGAGCATCGGCGGGATCATGTACTCGTTGAAGGTGCCGACTTTCCAGGGCTCCAGGTGCTGCTCTCGCGGTCTCATCACCAGGAGCAGCATCCCGTTGTGCAACATGCGGGAAGGCGACGGGAGGGTTGCGGACATCTCGACGAGGCTGTTCGGCGTGCGCAGCACGGTGTCCAGCTTGACCAAGAAATTCGGGTCGGCGGCGTCCAGGCAGGTGAGGTGCTTGAGCTGGAAGGGCATGTCGACTGGCCCCATGAGAATTGGCACGATCGCTTTGCCGATATTCGTGTTGCCCAGGATGCTCATGTGCGTCTCCCACGTGCACCATCGGCTGCTCAAGTAGTCGGCGCTCAAGACCAGCAAGATCTTGTGGCTCCTGTGGATGGCGTCCACCATGTTGTCCACGATGGGCTTCCCGGCGAGGAAGTCTCGCTCGTGATGACACACGCTGAACCCACGCTCGGGGCTCTCCAGCTTGGAGATGAGCCCCTGAGCCCAGTCGCTGTCGGCGTCGCAGTAGCTGAGGAAGCAGCTGAATATCCCGGGAGGCTGGACATCGCACAGGCTGTCTGTGTCTTCCTCCAACTGCAGCAGTCGAGCGTCGTCACGGTCGTCGGCCATGGCTAAGATACCAATCTGCCGGGCAACAAATATAGACAATGACACACACACACGGCGCGCCTGAAATGTGAGCGTTAGTGGTAATTGCGTTTGATTCCTGGTCCCACAGCCGACATTGTTGGCAAGCAATATGTGAACCGGTCCTGGGCACAATCGTCACAGACCCGCACTGAGCAGCGTGGTGAGGTATGGTCATCCAGCAGCGGATCGACAAAAGGCTGTCTCTGGCATTACACTTCACCTGTACGTGAAATGGGAGCGCCTCTTAATATGCTGTGCACTATACCAGGTCTGAGACCACAGGGTGGATAGGGGGCATGGCCGTACGGCGAGGAACACTTCGTGACACTTCCAAGTGAAGAGGCAGTCATAGAGCAGCCGAAATTGAAAACCTTTTGAGTTTGGAATTGAACAGGGACAGCGCGGGAGGCAGGGAGCCGCCAGGGCAGACAGCTGGGGACAGGGAGGTTCCGACTCTGCGAGCCACAGCAGCGCAGGAGCGACCTCCCGCGGAGCGCAGCTGGTGGCAGCAGTGGGGCGCACGAGGGGCAGCAGAGCGAGATGGGATATCGAGAATGTTCATGTTCTTGGTTCTTTCGGTAAAGTCACGTAGAATGGAAATAATAAAATAATAAAAATAAAACATAATAAAATAATTCTCACGACGTTTCGGCCACAACGCAAGCAGCCGTCCTCGTCGTTGTGGCCCTAAACGTCGTGAGAATTATTTATTATGTTTATTTTTAATATTTTATTATTTCCATTTTACGTGACTTTACCGAAAGAACCAAGAAGATGAATCCCTGCAGTCACGAAAGCTTTGAATCGAAATCGAGGATGTTGTTACGACGTCGAGCCCATTGCTCCGTGCCAAAGGGGCCATCCGCGAGATGCGTTTCCACGTCGCCACCCACGCCTCCTGCAGCTGCTGCTGCTGTCGCTGCTGCGCTCACAGAAACTTCCACGTGGCCCCATCCCCATTATCTGCAAGCTGCCAGCGCGGAGCCGTGGCCACGTGCCGCCACCAGCAGCTCCAGGAGCCGCGCGTCGACTCCGTGTCTCAACAACAACCACAGCAACAACAACAACCACAGCAACAACTACAGCAACAACCACCACAACTACAACCACAATAACCACCACAACCATAATAACAACAAAAACAAACCATAATAATAACAACCACGATAACAACAATCACAACCACCACCACCATAACAACAACAACCACAATAACCATGATAATAACCACAACAAAAACCACCACAACCACCACAACAACAACCACAACAACAAACACAACAACCACAACAACAACAACCTGCCGGGTGTTGCGCCGTTCCAATCTGGCGCCAGCTCTAAAAAAGCATGAACTGCACTCTGGTTCGGTGTTCATTGATTAATTGTCCATTGCACCGTGCCGTGTGCATTTAAATCGAGGTTTCGCTTCGCATTACAAACGTGACATTTTTTTAAAAGATGCAAACGAAGAGGCTCTATCACGAGAATAACAGTGAATGCCAATTGACATGTGAATGACGTGCACGGCAGCAAGCGCACATTGTCACTCCTAGTCGTCGTAGCTGCCTTACTTGTCAACGTCGCAATGGTGTCGCACACAATTGTCTGCGCAATTGAATGAACCGTCAAACGAACGCAGTCGTGCAACTCGGCCACGTGTATGCAAGCTGCAGTCGAGGCGTCACCACCATCAGCCGTGATCAAGCGGCTTGCATCTATCCATGAAAATGGAAAGTCTGCATATGCGCGCACCTCAATCAATTGTTAATGAGCACCCCCAAAAACTCCCGAATGCCCCCGAATGCCCCGCCCCTCACTGTCACAGTCACCTAGTTATTTAATGAGTCGAGCTTCGACTCGTGCTCCGTTCCCGTGCCCGCGGCGTTTTGGCATCACGCGACTCGGAGGAGGCGGCGCTCGAGATGAACGCCGCGGTTCCGCGCCGCGCCCGTGCGCTCCGACTCCTCGCGATGCCCCCCCCCCAACCCATCGCCCCCCCTACACCGCCCCCCCCCCAGGTTGTGCTCTTGTTGCGCAACCCAAGTCCTCATCGTCGTCTGTTTCCCCGGTGCGCTTCGGCGAGCGCCGCTCTTGTGCCACCCGTTCGCAACGAGGAAGGAGGTAGCGACGTGAACGACCGAGAGAGGGGGGGGAACGAGCCCTCGTTACCGTGACTCGCGGCGCAGCGCGGTGTCGGCATGCACGCACGCAGCCTGCATCATCATCGTCATCGTCGTCATCGTCGTCCATTATCTCTCGATCCACTGTTGGATAACAGCGGTGGCGTGACAATCCACCGCGCGTCCTGGCGCACCAGATGATTTCATAGCTCCAACTCTGCCGTCGGAAGTCCCCTCCATAGCTACTCCTCGCCACCGACCGTGCCGCCGTCTCTTCTCTCGCGGCTCTTGCGACGCTAAACGACTCGTCCCGCTAACACGCACACGAGCCGCGATCCCCGCCGCTCCATCTCCGCGGGCGGTTTGCGCTCCCTCCTTTGGCTGCCACTCCGCCGTCAGCCTCCACCACCAACGAGAGTCGTCGCTTCGCGTGACATTTCCTGCCCAAGGCCCGATCACCTTTCTCCCCAGTTCGCGACACGTCTTACGATAACCTTTTACACGCGCGTCTATTTTGTTATCCCCACCCTCCCACCCAGCACCTCCGATTAGCTACGTGCGGTGCGAAAGAAGTTCAAGGTCAACACACGCACGTAGACTGCTTCGCCGCGTGCGTCTCGACGTCCGTCTCACGCTGCAAGCGTGCGCGACTCTCCACGCTCCGCTCGTAACTCTCGTAGCTGTATGTCCCGCACTGTGTATGGCACAAGACAAGTGATGCCGCTGCTGCTGCCACACACGCCGTGAACACGAGTGGCTCACTCACTCACCTCTCCGTGGCGTCAGGGGACTCTGTGGAACTCCCAGCGACAGCTCCGTGTCACCAGCAACAACAGCAGCAGCAGCAGCCACCAGCGCCGGTGAACAGGCGCTTAGTGTCGGCTTGCTGCCAGTGCGACTTGAGAGAGAAGGGGAGTGACAATTCTTGGCACGGCACCTCGTGATTTGCTGCAGCCAGCGAACAAAGTAGCCGCAAACTAGCAGCGGTCAGTGACGTCCACGGGAATTTCCCAGAAAGTAGTCATCGCAGTAGAGCCGGGGGGGGGGGGGAGGAATTTGATGACGGGCAGGCCCCACTGTTGATCCAGAAACTCTGTGAGCGTCCTTCCCGGCAATGCAAACACCGTGTAGAGATCTGTACAAACACCACCCAGTGGCCGTCTAGCGCGCTGCTGGCATTCAGCATCGAGGCACATGCTGGTCAAAATTGAAAACCACTTTCTTTCAGAACTGCTTTTTGTGTTTAGTTTATTGTCCCTTTTCCCCGGGGACCTCTGATGAACACGGTTGGCTGCGTACGGCGCGAAAGAAGGTCACCATACAGGTGATGATTGTAAATGCATCTGAACAAAAACATTTTTTTTACCATAATTTGCATGTCTCCCTGGCATAGCAATCCGTGCGTGTGTGCACGTGCACTCGTGATGACGTGGGGCAACATACACATCGACGCCGGCGACCGGAGTGGAGTAAAAACCAAACAGCGTCCACAAGATCAACAGCACGCATCGCCACCAGAGGAACAACAGAGGGGACGACGGGGACGTCGCCTTGACTGTCACACAACACGCCCGTGCGTGTGCTCGCTGTGCGTTCGTCTCACTTCCCCCGCACCTCCGGTTAGCTACGCGCGGTGCGAAATGAGTTCAAGGTCAGCGTGCACGCTGCGGTGATTCTCAACACGTGCGCGTCTCTCCACGCTCTGCTCGTGATTCTCAGCTGTGCGTATGCCCAGGATGAGGAGTCGGGAGACCGGGATGATAATTCGGGAGACCGAGATGAGGGCACGGGAGACCAGGATGAGGGCACGGGATGAGTCGCATTGTGCGAGAAGGGTGACCCGGATGGAATGGCAGTCAAAGGGATGGAACTCGAACCTTAAAGGGGACAATCGCCGCAGAGATGAAGCGACGAGAGGTCAGGAATGGGATGCGGCGTCGCAAGAATGAAAGGGATGGCGGTGTGTGCGTCGGGAGGCGGTCATCCGGCAGCGTATTGGCAGACATGACGATGATGGTGAATGCCATAACAGAACGAGTCCTGTATAAGTCAGCAGTTAAGACACTGCACACATATTGAGGGAGAGTAATTTCATGATTCAACTCTGTTGTATGAGAAATCGCCGTGGCCGTGAAATCCAGCGGGCTGGATGTTGAACCGCTTTACAATCCCAGTGGTGTACAGTACACGGTGATCGCGACCCACGCAACGCGTCCTGGCAGCACCGCGGCCCGCGCGTGGGTTAGTCATCGGCACATTTTAGACGCAGGAAAACTTCCTCAAATCCATTTCCCATCCCGCGAGAAGCAGAAGCGTCCGTGGCTGCAGCGAAGGCGGCGGGGGTTGACGCGAGGCAGTCACTACTGCTGCCCAGACACGCGCACTGGCAACCGTTTAAGTTTTACAACGCGCAGACTAAGAATGTTCAGACTCTGTCTTCTCGACAGACCTGTTCTCCACCTGAGGACGCTGCTTGCGTTGTGGTCGAAACGTCGTGAGAATTATTTATTATGTTTTATTTTTATTATTTTATTATTTCCATTCTACGTGACTTTACCGAAAGAACCAAGAAGATGAATCCCTGCAGTCACGAAAGCTTTAAATCGAAATTTATTGTTGAGGCTCGCCTATTTTTTTTTTAATCAAGCACATGTTTATTTTAAAATACTGAAATCAAACATCGAGTTCAGGTCGTGTTGCTAACGGACTTCTCAATATGCTCATTGCCACCTCGAATGCACCTTGGTCTCGTCACGTCTCAGAAGCTAAGCGAATTTGAGCCTGGTTCGCACGGAACTTCGATGGCAGACGACTCGGGATCGCCGTGCCGGGTTTGTCCGGCGTGGGCCGTGGGGTTGGCCACCAGATGGCGGACAAAGCGAGGGATGGGGCCCCGCTCTGCGTCCATCGCTCGTGGAATTGGCCCAAAGCAACACATTCCGCTACCGACGCCGCCTGCCCTTCGTGGAAACAAACGTACGCATGTAACATGCGACGCGTTCGCGAAACGGCCTTTGTTCATAGCGCACATGTAGGGTCATTGACCAAAACGTCGCCTCTTAAACATATTTTCACGATTACGGCAGAGTGATTGATGAACGTGAGCTGTTTTTTATTTGTCCGCGTGTGAACAGAGTGCCGTCCGTACTCCCGTGGGGGTCGACGCCCACCTCCCCGCTCCGTGTGAGCGACGTCCACCCCCTCCACTTCCCCCTCCTCCTCGTTGGCCGCCTCTCGCCGGGCCCCCGCCGATCGGGTGATCGGGGCCCCCGCGGCAGCGCCCTCTCTGAGGGGCGTGGCTAATCGGCTGGCTCACCACCGCCCGGGGTTACCTCGCACACGCCCACGTACACCGCCACCGCCGCCACACAAGCCAACGCGGTGGCATGCACGCGCGCGCCCCTGCAGGCGCTTATTTTCCACAAAGCCTACGCGAATTTGCGCCTCGCCTCGCTGTTAATGCGATTGCTGCTGCGTGAACAAGCGCGAGTGTTAGCGAGCGGGTTTAACACCCCCGCCCCCCCCCCCCGCTCGAATACTCGCTGCTCGGACGCGGGCGTGTCAGCGCCCATACAATGTTAAGCTAATTTAGGGGCACCGCAGTGTAACCTGTCCTGCGAGGGTCGGCCACTCTCCTGGCACCGGGAAACCGTGGGACTCTCCGTCTAGGGGCCCTTCGGATTAAAACCCGATGTGCCAGGCAACCGCCCGCCAGGACACTGCGCGGGTGCGCTGCGTGCGGTTGTGTGTTTAGTGCGGGGGCCGGGAGGGAGTCGCGGTGCTTGCGGAGTTGCTCCGCTCTCGTGGCACCACACTCCTCCTACACGTGCGAGAGGCATCTAAGATCACGGAACGCTTTGACAATGCAAACGTAAAACTAAGGCTCACTCGCACCGGGTGTTCATTTAAAAGAGTTCGCTTCTCGCACTCATCGGTCTTTTGTGTACGGCAATTGCCAGCGCTGTATGCGCACGCGAGTGAACACAATGCTGCCGTGTAGTTAGCACGTGTGCGAACAGCGTAGGAAGGAGGAGGCTACACTCGGTGGTCGTGCCGCGTGTTCCACGCCGGAGGAATCGCCCACCCCATCGGTCACAGTCGGTCGTGTCAAATCAAAAGGCGATTTTATTTGAAACGTCCCAAGTCGCGGAGTAAATTAATTTCATGAATCTGAACTAAAAAAAGAGTCTGGCACTGGGCAACGGTGGAAATCTGCTGTCCTTGGCTGTCAAATCTGATGCTCTCACCGATGTTGTATCTGTAACGGATTCCCACTCTCACCCGGGAAGTACATTTCACGTGATTATATTTGCTGTGCTCTGCTAGTTCGTGATAACCTTATGAAGAAGTTGCACTTTCACTCAACTGTGGCTGCAGAGTGGCGCTATGCGTGATAAAGTCTCGACTTCCTCTTACGGTTGGGATGAATATATTTGTCTTTGCTTTGCAAGCCACCTGGGTTAACTTGTTTGGTGGACATTTCTAAAAATTACAATAACCACGGCTTTCGTTGGAAGTAAACTTCCACGTAGAAACCTTACACGTCTTCGACTCAGATTCGAATCTATCTGTGTGACTCGCTTACATGTGTAAGGGTCCTGTATACTTGCTTGCTATACTTTTGTCGAACTTGATCAAATGCAAAGTATTGAAACGGCTGATTTAACACGAGCGTCTACCGCAATCATTGTCAGTGTGTGCTTTGTTGTCTGGGTGTTGTGACGTTCCGTGCGATGTCTGCTTGCAACAGAGTTCCTGTCGGTACCCCCTTTAGATGCTTGGGACCGTCTCCTGTGACTCATGCAACATCTCTCTACCTTTGCCATGATATGACGTTGAAATGTCGTCTCGTGACTACAGTATTATAAGGTTGTTTATTCTGACTGAAGTGGCTAAAAGCAACAACAAAAAAAGCATTCATGTCTCAAACGTCCACCTGTACGTAATACCCCAAAACGCGTTGCATGACCGCGTTAATTTCCTTTATTCTAGAAAACATTTCGCCGTAAACGCCCCTTGCTTAACCGGTGCGTTGCGTTGGCAGTGGCACGCGAAGCGAGTTCGTGGTCGTGCATACGCGGTGACGCCACGAGAGCGCGTTGCAGATGCCAGAACACGGACCCTGGATGCGACCAGGGCCGGATCAAGGCACGGGGCTTTAGGGCACGGGTGGGGAACCTTTTTTCTGCCAAGGGCCGTTTGTATATTTATAACATCATTCGTGGGTCATACAAAATTATCAACTTAAAAATTATCCCTGTTATATTTGGTCAAACGTTTAATTAACTCACACCCCTAATGTGATGCCTGGAACTGCTTCTCTTTGGTGAGGCGTGTGATGTTGGCTGGCGTTGATGATGTTGCTACTCGCAACTGCTTTTCCACGTTTGCTCCTAGATGTATTGAATTTCGAGTCCCGCCTGCGGTTGTCTTGGCAGGGCCAGAGACCAAATGATTTCGCGGGCCTCACACGGCCCGCGGGCCGGACGGAAGTTCCCCACCCCTGGTCTAGGGGCTGCAGCCCAGAGGCCTCAGCCAGCTGGAGGACCTCCAGAGATGAAGTGAAAAGTGATTTCACTTGTAAATGCTGAGTTTTATTTGTTGTTAGCCTTGTAAAAATAAATTTTATTGTTCTTTAACTTTCTTTTCCTTTGGGAAATATTACTGGGGGGGGGGGGGGGGGGGCGGGCTCACAGTACCTGTAGCCCAAGGGGCCTTACACAATCTTAATCCGGCCCTGGATGCGACGCCACGCAGGCAAAGCAGCTCCTGTTCTGCCCGGCACGCTGCCCCACTTGAAGGCGGTGCCGCGTGTTCTTCATTGGATTTGTATCGCAAGGCGGAGACGTCGATGCTTGTCTCACACTGCCCTTACTTCAATGGGTACCGACTGTGTAAAAGACATGGCAACAACCGAACCCGTGATTTGAAGAGATGGCAAGAGTGAGCGCATACTGCGCGCGTTCCAAGTTGTAATGGTATGCATTGCTGCTGTATTACTACGATGTTGCTGATCTGCTGTAAGGCTCAACAGTACGCGTACGCGCACGGGCGGTTGAGATCGATTTCCCGTCGTGTCGGTGGCTGGGCGGGGTGGTTGTGTAAACCCGACCTTCACGACAGCCACTTGTCTGATGGAGGGCCGGTGTAGGCCTGCCCGGGTGTAGAACACATGCGGCTGCACGTTACAGGTTCTGCACAATCGACGTGGTTGTTGCCATCGCTCCGGAGCACATCCATTGGGTCATGGCGACAGGCGGGGCTTCAATTCCCACTCGTTGTTTTCAGGAACGCTGGAGAAAGAATTATCTACATAACGGCACTACCGCCAGAGTACTGCACGAAGAATACCTATCCATTGTTATGCTATGTTATTGTAACATGTATTCATGTAATCCTATATCCAAGTATTTGACCTTACGTGATATGACATATTGTATTGTTATTTTTGTTCACCCAGCAAATTATTTTGCAGTAGGTGGCTTCTAATCCCAATTGAGCAAATTGCATGTAATGTCTCAGCATTGGGATGTTTGGTCAATACAATTAACATTGCTTAGAATTTTTTTGTATTAGCCATCGGAATAAATCTGAGAGATGCCAGAGAGAACTCATGCAGAAGAGGGGGAGATCATACAAGCTCCGCACGGAGAGTAGCGGGAGTCGGGTATCGAACCCAGGGGCTCCTTGCTGTGAGGCGCGAGTGTCACCACTGCACACACCCCGGAGCCCGTGTGTAGTGAGTCACTTCGGAGACACTAATAGTAGGAGGCACATACGTTAATTCTACACTTAAACACTTCTGCTCACACACGGGATAACAACAGACGGGTCAGGACAGCCGGCACGCTGTCTGACTCACGACGCCGAGGAGACGAAGACGTAGCACGACGGGTTCCATTCCAAACGACAGCCCCGATCTCAGCCTCGGGACCTCCCTTTTATGCCCCCCAGCGTGGCCTGGCTCCGCCCTCGGCCACGCCCTCTTCTGGAACCTACCAGAAGGTTCTGGGCTATACCCCACGTGTCCCCTCTGTCACCTTTGCTCTACATCCCTTAACCCGGCCTATCACGTGCCCTGTTAGCCGACCAGGCTGCTACGTCCTGAGATGCCCTCTCTCTGCCAGCAGCCAGCGCTACGCACCCTAATGACCCATTCCATGGCATTGCATGTTCTGCTGGCAGATCGGCTGCTACATCCCACAATTCCCCTCTTTGTCAGTAACCAGCGCTACGCGCCGTAGTGACCCATTCTATGTCACTACACAAGTGCCAGACAAATGAGATGCAGTCGTATATACGTGTACTCTATGTTCCAAATCAGCCTTTAATGGTCACGGATCAATGAAAATACAAGACAATGTACATATCAATGTTTTGCATAGGTTTCTTAAATACGCAAATTCATATATATGATATAGAATATATTTTCTTTAATTGCTTTGTTAAACACATTTTGTATGATGGTGTCAGCAGATCGAGTCTGTGAAGGTTATTTCGCTGTGCAATGCTTCCCCGCACCATTGGCTCACCGCGAAGCAAAATATACTGAAGACAAATATGCGTGTATTTGACATCGCATAAACGGGTACGATACTTTATAGTAGGGGTGGGGAACGTCCGGCCCGTGGGCCGTATAAGGCCCGCGAAATCATTTGGTCTGGCCCTGCCAAGGCAACCGCAGGCGAGACTCGAAATTAAATAAATCTCGGAGCAAACCTGGAAAAGCAGTTGCAAGTAGCAACATCATCAATACCAGCTAACATCACACGCCTCGCCAAAGAGAAGCAGTTCCAGCCATCGCATTAGGGGCGAGTTAATTAAATGTTTGGCCAAATATAACAGGCTAATTTTTTAGTTGATAATTTTGTATGGCCCGTGAATCTATATATATAAAATCGCAAATCTGTCTGTCGGTCTGTCTGTCTGTGTGTGTGTCTGTGTATCGGACCATACGCAGTTTCATTGGACGAAATGTCAGGGATTTGCGAGACACGATTGGTCCGGCGGTTGCCCCTGGCAACGGGTAGCGACGCATTCGCCGCGGGGTGGACGCCATTTTTAATTCCCGTTAAAAATAGGCGCACGCATTAAATTCATCAAAGTTTCACGTCCTCTTCACTCCCCCCCCACCACAATGTGTGCAATTACTATTATAGGGTCGGTAGATTATAAAATTATAGCGATTAGACAGTATTATTGTAGCGCGGGGGGGGGGGGGGGGTACCGGACCCAGTACCCAGCCTCAGCCGGGTGGGCAATCTAGGCGAGGCCGGAGGCTCTGCACGGTACTAGGCCTCGACACCCACCACGCGACTCTGAGCTAAATTCATCAAAGTTTCACGTCCTCTTCACTTCCCCCCCACCCCAATGTGTGCTATTACTATTATAGGGTCGGTAGATAATACAATTATAGCGATTAGACAGTATTATTGTAGCGCGGGGGGGGGGGGGGGGGGGGACGGCCCCGGTACCCAGCCTCAGCCGGGTGGGCAATTTAGGCGAGGCCGGAGGCTCTGCACGGTACTAGGCCTCGACACCCCACCACACTATAGGCCGTACATATTACTGCACAGCGGCCGAGGAGATCGTGGCTGGGGGGGGGCAGGGGTAGCAGCCCATCTGTGTATATATGTAAGGTTATTAAGAAATATATTTTTCACCCGGGCAACGCCGGGTACTTATGCTAGTGATGTTATAAATATCCAAATGGCCCTTGGCAGAAAAAAGGTTCCCCACCTCTGCTTTATAGGCTTTAGATTTCAAAAACATAATATACGCGTTATTCCACTTTTGCTATGGATATGCCACATCCTGGACACCGATGCAAATGAGATGTTCCGTCGCAAGGGGGTAAATAATTGTATTTTATTTTCATTCAAGCCAGATGTAACCATTCACCCTCTTGAAGTTGACCACAGTGATGAGGCACTGAATGTCGAAACCAGTCCGGCGTTGGCTTTGCGTTCAACCAACGCTGCTAAAAGGACGCTCGCACTCTCGAAAAGCTGTGGCGGCTGACGAGATGTGTCAAAATGCTTTGTTAATATTTTGTTAATTGGAGAAACAAATATGGGAATAAGGGCCAGCGTCTGCTTATTCGTTTTGCTACTTGATGGTTTTTGGTTTAATTGGGAGTCGGGCCCGGCTCGAGGTCCTCTCGCGTGGGGGGTAGAAGGGCGGGCAGGGCTGTGGGGGGGGGGGGGCTCCGTGACAGAGATCCACCGCTACGGAGGAAACGTGCGTGTGGGTGGTGCCGAGGGGACATCTACTATTCTTAGGTTTTTTCGGTAAAGTCACGTAGGTTAAAATTTAAAATTAAATTAATAAAAGTCCTTGCAGTCACGAAAGCTTCAAATCTGGGACATCTACTGGCGGAGCTGCAGGGCCGGGCTCAGCCTGGCGCACCCCACCTCCCTCCCGTGGCTCGGGCCCTGCTTGGTGGGGGGGGGGGGGGGGGTGACCCCGGGCCCCGCTGGAGGCCACTCAGGTGACCTTGGTGAGCCTCAGGTCGCCGCGGACGCGCACGCTGTTGATGCTGTGCAGCGGTTGGAGCCGGTGGCAGAACCCGCAGAGGTTCTGCTGGTCCACGGTGACGCGGAATCGCTCGTGCTCGCACAGCAGCTCGCACTGCCCCCCCCAGCACAAAAGACAAAGAGAGCCCCCGTGTAGCCTTTAGCAGCAGACTGATGGGGCAAGTGCTGTTAGCGAGTAGCTCCGATGAAGGACGACACGGCGCACGCGGGTGAGGGCGGGGGGGGCAGCACCACGTCCGGCTGCTATTGTCTCCCCAATGCTGATGTTTACACAACGCGACAGGTGCTAATTTAACACTGAGTTGACCTAGGGGAGACCCACTGTTATTGTTCGTGAGCGAAATCGAACTCGTGCTCGCCGGGTTGTATATAGCGCGGTGCGCTGACCACCGTGCCATGGCCCCCACACACTGCCTGCAATACGGACACACAGTGCGGGCAGGAGGGGTGCCTCGCAGAAATACTTACCCGAGCTCGATTCTGCGTAGAGTTTGTGTGTTCTCCCCCTGTTCTCCATGGTTTCCTTCCCATGGCTAAACAAATAAACCCACACACAATGCAAGTGGTGTATACTCTTTGGTTCTTCCGGTAAAGTCACGTAGGTGAAAAGAAAAAATATTTGTTTTCATTTTTTTTTTATATTTTATATTTTTTTTTTTCACCTACGTGAATTTACCGAAAGAACCAACGAGTATGTTGATCCTTGCAGTCACGACAACTTCAAATCTAGAATTAATGCAAGTGGTGTTGGCCAAAATATCATCCCACGACTGAAAATGTGCGTGGCAAATCACTCAGTTGGGAATCACACACGCGGCAGCAGCGTCGCCCCCTACTGCGAAAACTTGGCAGGAGCCCACTGAGAAGAGCTTGAGGCTGGCTCAGTGTGGAGTTTTGTGCTCCCTCAAAGTGCCTTGGGGGGGGAAGCGTTGGCTCAGCGGTTATCCCGCTGTGCCGTGAACTCGATTAACTGAATTGTATTTCCGGCTCACGGCTAAGATCAGTGGCGATGCGGTATTCGAATCTTCTTTCAATCACAATTATTCACGCACATAACTCGCTCTCAAGGTGGAGAATTCCTGTCTCACGCCTGGCGCTGCGTGAAAAATAAATGTATCGATATAAAACACTCTCATGCAGCAGTTTCATTAGGTAAAACAACTGACGCTTTTCGAGATGAATACGTAACGTGATTAATTCCAACATTAAAGATTGAGTGGCCGAAGTTGCTCACTAGCTCCACTACTGGCGGAAGGAGCTTCAGCCTCAGGAGACGCAGTCCGGTCTCCTCTTCCACACTCGCCACACGCCTCGCAAGCGATCATTGACAATTCGGTGACGTAAAGAGCAACGCTGTGGTAGAAGAGCCCAGCAAACGCGAGTTCGCTCGGTGAAGGCCGGCTTGAACCCGCACTTACTTCACAGCGTCCATCACCAGCAGTCTACCCCGCACGGAGATCTCACAATCATCTCACAAACCCTCCTAGCTCTGGAACATTTCCCTTAACCGTTAACAACTGGAGCCAAAACTGCCTCCTATCCTCGTGTGAACCCCTTTAGCCAATCCAGTCCTCTCCAGCCGAACATCGGGGTAGTGACACAATCGTACGATCGATAACGGATCATTTTGGAACGTCCCGTAACACACTTAACAAACAAACAAAAAAACACAAGCTGCTCGCGACGCCGCTATCCACTGGCGGATGCGTGCCGTCGATCCGTACGCGCGCCAGCCGAGGGTGAACCGCGCCCGAGGCTCAGCACTCGCCTTGAAGGGCTGCCCGGGGGTGAAGGGGAAGTAGGGCACGCTCGTCTCGTCCGCGCCCCACTGCCCACCGAGCATGGCGTTGCGCGCGATGGTGCGGCCGGGGAACTGCACCTCGAGCCTCAGCGCCACGTCGGCGCCCTCCTCCGAGCCGCACGCCAGCTCGATGGCAAAGCTGTCGGGGGAGAAGACGGCGCACGAGAAATGTGGGGAAAACACACACACACAACCACCACCGGACTCGCAAATACTGCTTTTCCACTGCCACATCCGAGCCGAGCCAGTGCGCGACCCTCGCGGTATGGGTGGTTTTCCATTGTTTTTTTTTAAATACCAAGCTGAGTCGGAACCAAACCGTGATGCTCCGGTCTCACAAGATGTCTGATTCGGACTCGGGGCCAAGCAGGGCCATGAGCGGTGCTAATGACTCGTTCGTTGCGCGCGACGTCAGTACGGTACACCGTGAGGACACGAGGTGGCTGCGGCATCTCAATGAGTCTCGACATTCACAATGGAGTTGTTACGTTGACACGGACTTTAGTTTTTATGTTGACCGGAATACCTCTTGGGACGCTTGGAAACGATGGCAGTCACCAGGATCCGCATGCCAGGTCTGATGCCGGTCTTTATCCTCCCAGCAAAGGGCAGCCGCTGTAAGAGACAACGTCCGCTCCACGTCTCTACCCCGACGAGGCTCAACCGCAGCGCTGGCTCAGGTTAACGCCGAACATTGCTTTGGCGTGCCTCCCGTTCGCCTTCTCTCAAGTGCTCATTAGACATCAAGCGCAGCCCTGCAATTTCTTGCTCAAAGCCACTGCTGCCAGGCGGGCCTCCATTCGAGGGAACTCTACAGGGTGGTTTTGGCCTACTCTTCCACCCTGGTCAGACATCTTGAACTAGGCAGGGGTGCCCACATTTTATCCCCAGCACACGTGGTCTGCTGCTAGACTGACTGGTGTACACCGCTGTGAGGATAGAGGCGATGGCAGGGGAGTAAAGAAAACAACGGGGCCATTGTTTTAGCTGCCACACCGGCAGATGGCATCGAAGTGTGCTAACCATTGCACCGCGATAGAACCCCTCATTGGTAATTAAACAATGTTATTGTATCACAACATTACAAGCATTGGGGCGCAAGCGGTAACAATTTAGCGTGAAGATTGAAGTGTGGAGAGGAGGTCAAAACAAGAGTGAATTGACAGCATATTGAAAAATGCCCTTCTGGCACATGCAAAATGTAGATTTGAAGCTTTCGTGACTGCAGGAATTCATACTCTTTGGTTTTTTCGGTAAAGTCACGTAGGTATAAAATTAAATAAATCACGACGCTTTCGGGCGCAACACAAGCGTCTGGACAATGTATTTATCAGTTAAAATATTCCACCTGGATGATCTCTCGAGATGGAACATCTCTTTCGCAAGCGAGGCCACGGTGTTAATGGACTCACACACAACACAAACACACGTAATGACACGTACATGTATATACACACATACTTTGAAATATGTAAATGTTCTGTCTCGTGTATGTGTGCTTACCAGAGTGGGACGCGGTAGTGCTCTACAAACCTGGCAACCCCAGTTTATCTGAACTGGACCTGGACCTCCCCTCAGTCGACTGAGCCTCAAATTATTACCTGATGCAGTGTATAAACATCGACACTTGGGACATGAAGGCAGCCGGGCATGGTACTGGTCACCCACCCCTTCGTGTGCAATGTCGGCCTTCATAGGTGCTCACTAACAGCACTTGCCCCAATAACCTGTGAAGGCTACACGGGGGAATATTTGTTTGGTGCTTACCAGTGGACCCTCAGATTCCTCCTCATCACCATCGTCCTGCTTTAGGGAACATCAAACAGAAGTCCTGAATATTAGCACGAAGATTTCAAGATTCAAGTTTATTTGTTGAACCAGGTCAGAACTCCAGAAACCAGGATAGAGGAGTGTCATTTGCAAGAGTGGTGACCCGGGTCAAAAACTAATAGAATAAAGTACAGCAATGAGGCAAAGAGAAATCAGCACAAAAACAACGGTGTCACCACGTGAGAAATTGAAAATGTTGCACAATGTAAATGATAAAAGATACATTCAGTGTGCCGCCAGTTGGCTCGGATAAATGAAAAGACTTAACACGGGTGGAGCGGTGGCACAGCGGTGAGTGAAATCTGTTACGAACCCGGTGACCTGAGTTCGAATCCCGTTGACAGCTAACATCATTGACAAGTGATGTCTGACCCGGTCCTGGCCCTCATTTCAATCCACACGAACCAGTGTGAAGTGAAGTCAAACAACACTCATGACCAACATGGCACGAGCAGGCTTTCATCCAGCTGGTATATTTATCATGGCTGATGAGGATTATTACGACAATAAATGAAAATCACAACTTTATTTTCCGAATAAAGCCAATCGAGCTTCGAAGCTTTTTTTCAAGGGCGACTCGATCGATAAACAACATCAACGCATTCCACAATTACGGATACAAATTCACACTTCAACTTTCGTGATTCTTAGAGAGCCAGTTTAAATGAGGACATAGATCGCAGCATGGAGATGCCGATAAAGACGAAACTGGGTGGTTCCAAAAGTCTGGGACAGCAGCTAAGGTTAACATTTTTTTTTGCTCTCAAATTGCGCGCGACATCTGCCAAACCGTGAATTTAAATCAGCAAGAATAGTGGTGGCAGAGTGAGACCTTGTCGGTGACAGGCGAGCGAGCGGTGGCAGCAGTGCTACTCACAGGTGGGGGAATGTATTCCGCGCCGCGCCTCTTCATTGCGACCGCTTGCTGCCCACTGCGGCGAGGGGCAAGAGGAGCAGCAGAAGCGCGTCTCCCAGCGCGGCCCCCACGGGCCTCGCGGTGAGGCCGCAGCCACGGCGCCCGCGGGGCCGGAGATGTTTGGAGGCTCGGGGCACGCGGCGTCCCCAACATTCCTGGCCGGTCCAGGCTCGTGGACGGCTCACGATGCGTACACCACCCCCAACCCACCTCCACAGCCACCCCCCCGTGACTCCCCCCCACCTACCCCCCGTCCCCCCCCCACCTCCACAGCCCCCCCACCCCCCCGTTGCCCCCCATCTCCACAGCCCCCCCCCCACCCCCCGTGCCCCCCCACCTCCACAGCCCTCTCCACTCACCCCCCGTGCCCCCCCACCTTAACAGCCCCCCCCCCACCCCCCGTGCCCCCCTCCCACCTCCACAGCCCCCACCTACCGTGCCCCCCAACTCCACAGCCCCCCCCACCTCCCTGTTGCCCCCATCTCCACAGCCCCCCCCACCCCCCATGCCCCCCCCCACCTCCACAGCCCTCTCCACTCACCCCCCGTGCCCCCCCCCCCATCTCCACAGCCCCCCCCCCACCCCCGTGCCCCCCCCCACCTCCACAGCCCCCCCCCACCCCCCCGTGCCCCCCCATCTCCACAGCCCCCCCCACCCCCCCCGTGCCCCCCCCCACCTCCCCCACCCACCATGCCCCCCCCATCTCCACAGCCCCCCCCCCCACCCCCGTGCCCCCCCCCACCTCCCCCCTCGTCTGCTCTGCCTTCAAGTGCGCAGAGCATCCTGTACTGGCACGCAGCGGCAGATACAGGGGCGATAATTGTTCGAATAAATATTTTTTATTTGTTAGACGAACTAAAACAAATCGCTTCTGAAATGTCCGACCAGGGGTGGCTCTTCGGTGCGTGGTTGTGATCGGACTGTGATTGACACGAAGTTCCATCCGCACATTTTCCTCCCACCTCGACGCGCACCGATCTCGTGAGATCTCAGACGCGGCTAAACGGAATGCAGCTCGGTCATGATGAGTGCCAGCACTGTACGGACCTTCAATAGTCAACAGATTATCTGGTGGTGGTGGTGATGATGATGCTGCTGCGTTGGCAGCGATGGTGCACAAACACAGACAACAACAACATCAACTCAACACATTCGCCAATAATAACGCCGTGGCCTTAAATAATACTGTACGCAAAAGGCAACGTTTCGGGCAAACGCCCTTCTTCAGAGCACACAGAGGGGTCGGAGAGGTAGGCTGGCTAGCCACTGTCTCCTTAATTTCATACCTAAAGTGTCATTTTAGGAAAACGTTACTGGAGATGGCACCTGCCGAATGGTCATTGGGACAATGATGCTTTGGTTAGGATTACGATAACCCTAACAACCCTCGGAGTGGCCAGCTTCAACATAGAATCTACCGCATGTTTTAGTCGAGATCCTATTCACGTGAAGCCTTTGACCTGTCCGGGAACACCCTTGCCTCCGCACAGATAGATTTAAGAATCCATTGGTGTACTGCCATCTCCTGGCCACTTCCCATATAGCCGGTGACATTTAAAATGTATCTTCTTGGTTCTTTCGGTAAAGTCACGTAGAAGGGAAATAATAAAATAATAATAATAAAACATAATAAAATAAAATTCTCACGACGTTTCGGCCACAACACAAGCAGCCGCCCTCAGGTGAAGACAGAGCTGTCTTAAAGACAGCGTTTCAATGAACACTGCTAAGCTTGGCAGCGTATTTTAATCTGGGTGGGAGGAGACGAGCGCCTTGACAAAGGAGTTTACATATCAAACAGAAGAATTTAGCATTGAATAAGCTTTTACGTGACTTTACCGAAAGAACCAAGAAGATGAATCCCTGCAGTCACGAAAGCTTTAAATCGAAATGTTTAATCTAAATGGAGTTCAATCGCCCCTCTGCGGCAATTAACGGGCACCGGGTGAAACACGAACCTCATCCTCTGGATGATTGGACGCAAGCGTCGCTCCTGTGATGTAAAGTAGAACTGGAGAACGCGGCACGCTCGTGTACGTGACTGTGTGTGTGTGACTGTGTCTGTGACTGTGTGTGTGTGACTGTGTGTGTGTATGTGACTGTGTGTGTGTGACTGTGTGTATGTGTGTGTGACTGTGTGTGTGTGAATGTGTGTGTTTGTGAATGTGTGTGTTTGTGAATGTGTGTGTGAATGTGTGTGTGAATGTGAGGTACAGGAGGACGTGGAGCTGAGTGGACTTGCCGATGACTGGTACCAGCGGTGTCAAGATCGGCCTCAGTGGAGGAGGCTCGTGAAGGACGCTACTGGGCAGTTGGAGGCAGTCGCCCTCCAACAACAACGGAGGGCGGAGGAGCGACGCTCACAACAACGAGCGGAGCGCCGGGTGGCTAAAGCACAGCAAGTTGGCACAGTAGGGGGCACAGGTGGTGCATCAGCCAGTCATCTCGGTCATCTCAGTCAGACGACCCGTGGCACCTGCTGGGTCTGCCCCGTGACCTCCTGCCAGCGGGCGTTCGACACTTCACGTGGCCTCAAGGTGCACTTGGCCTGGCACAAGCATCGTGGTGACGTCACCGCCACTTAGTGGCGAATGGCGGTTGTTGTTGTTGTTGTGTGAATGTGTGTGTTTGTGAATGTGTGTGTTTGTGAATGTGTGTGCGGTAGTGTAGCGGTCAGGGGCCACCCATTTAGTGGGTGCGCAAAAAATCTGTCAAAACTTGACCCCCCCCCCCTTGGTGCGTCACGTCATTTATGGACGGCCCCTTGCCCCGCAATGGGTACTCGCGTCCGTGTTGGTGACAAGATCTGTGATGACAGCGGCACGCGTCTCACTATCACGACGCGGTGCCGCGGATCGAACGCGCGCACACAACTCAACACATACCTACACACACTACACACATACACACACACCACACACACAACACACATACACACACTACACACACACAACACACACACATACACACATACAAACACTAGACACACACAACACACACACCACACACACAACACACATACACATACTACACACATACACACACACATAAACACACACACACAACACACACACTACACACACAACTCAATACACGACACACACACAACACACAACTCGCACACAACACACACACAACACACACACAACACACACAACACACACACTACACACATAACGCATACACAACACACACAACACACACACAACTCAATACACAACACACACAACACACAACTCACACACAACACACACACTACACACACAACGCATACACACACACATAACGCATACACAACACACACACAACTCAACACACAACACACACACCGCACACACACCACGAACACAACACACACAACACACACAACACAACGCGGTCCAGCGCGGCCATAACCAAGCTCGCCAGCAGGAGGCGCTGTGCCACCACGTGTCCTGCACACACACGGGCACAAGAGCGGGTGTCTGTCTCTGTGTTCGTGTCTGTGTCTCTCTGTGTGTGTGTCTCACTGTTAGTGTGGGAGCGATTGTGTAGCGGTTAGCGCTACGCTGCGCTATGAATCCCGGCGACCCGAGTTCGATTCCCGCTCACGGCCAACACCGGTGACGATTATCTGAACCGGTCCTGGGCCTCCCCTAGGTCGACTCAGCCTCAAATGAGTCACCTGGTGCGGTGTGTAAACATCACCACTAGGGAGACAAAGGCGGTCGGGCGTGGTGCTGGCCACCCACCCCCTCGTGTACCGTTGCGGCTTTCATAGGTGCTCGCTAACAGAACTTGCCCCTACAGTCTGTTAAGGCTATATGGGGGATCTTTGTCTGTGTCTCTGTGTGTGTCTTTGTGTCTCTGCGTGTGTGTCTCTCTGTGTATGTGTGTGTCTCTGTGTCTCTGTGTGTGTCTCTGTGTCTCTCTGTGTGTCTCTCTGTGTGTGTCTCCGCGTGTCCCTGTGAGTGTGTGGGGGGCCTGAGCAGGAACTCCTCCGCCACACGCACAGTTCCAGTTCAATCACGGGGGGGGGGGGGTCACAACCCCGGATTCGAATCTGGGGCTCCCAGCGTTGTCGGCTCATTGTGAACAGCTGCGAGCTGCGAGCACGTGCTGCGTTTGTGTCTCCGTGTCTCTTTAACACGTGTTCGTGTTGAGCCCGACTCAATACACGACCAACGAAACAGACCTGAGTTCCATCCCCGGCCACGGCTAACATGTTAGCCGGTCCCGGGTCCCGCTCCCCCTCGCCATGAGCGACGCATCGGGGATACAAAAGGCGTGCGGGCGTGATTCTGACCGCACCATAACCACCCTTAGCCGCTCGTGCCAGCCAGCGTTCAGCGGCGCTCGCTAAGAGCACTTGCCCCAAGCAGCCTGTGCAGGCTACCTGGGGGACCTTTGCGTCGTGGGTGATGCGAGCGGAAGGGCACCGCGTGGATCGCTGCCGGGTCACGAGGGATGAATGTACGCGCGGAAGAGTTCTGTCCGCATCGGTTCCCGTCTCTCCATCATCATCATCACCACCACCCTCATCGCCTTCTCCTCCTCCTCGTCATGCGGTAATATCGTCATCCCACCACTCGCGGCCGTCTGTACACGCTCTGTTCTCATCATCATCGTCATCTCGCCGTTATAATCATCATCATCATCATCTATCGATTCTAACCCATAATCATCTCGCTGTTATCATAATCAATTAGCGATTCTAACCCATCATCATCTAGCCGTTATCATCATCATCTCGCTGTTGTAATCATCATCTATCGATTCTCACCCATCATCATCTCGCTGTTATAATCATCTATCGATTCTCACCCATCATCTCACTTATAATCATCATCATCTATCGATTCTACTCATCAACTCGCTGTTATAATCATCTATCGATTCTCACCCATCATCTCGCTGTTATAATCATCATCTATCGATTCTACCCATCATCATCTCGCTGTTATAATCATCTATCGATTCTCACCCATCATCTCGCTGTTATAATCATCATCTATCGATTCTACCCATCATCATCATCTCGCTGTTATAATCATCTAACGATTCTACTCATCATCTCGCTGTTATAATCATCGTTGATCGATTCTCACCCATCATCATCTCGCTGTAATAATCATAATCATCTATCGATTCTCACCCATCATCATCTCACTTATCATCATCATCATCCAGCGATTCTAACCCATCATCTCGCCGTTATAATCATCATCTATCTCATCATCATCCATTACATCTTTGTCCACCGCTAGTGCCAATTCCCTGGTCTGCGATCGGTCTCGCCGATATAATCGTTTCTTTAATTCAACCATCATCGTCATCATCATCTATCCCATGAGCTCATCAATTACATTTCATCTCATCCATTCCATCATCATCTCGTCATCCTTCCCCTCATTTCGTCCGTTCAATAATAATCATCATCATCATCATCGACCACATCACCCATCTCATCATTTCCATCCACAGAAGCTGGAATGTTCCAAAGTGGCAACTGAACTGTTCGTGTGTGTTTTGTGCTGTTCTTAGGTACATCCCATGAGCAACCATCCCACCATCAGAACATCGACCATCCCATCAACTCATCTATCAGCCATCGTCCACCACTAGTGCCATTCATCTCATCGCATCATCATCATCATCTTCTTGGTTCTTTCGGTAATGTCACGTAGAAGGGAAATAATAAAATAATAAAAATAAAACATAATAAAATACAATTCTCACGACGTTTCGGCCACAACGCAAGCAGCCGTCCTCAGGTGAAGAACAGGTCTGTCGGAAAGACAGCGTCTGAATGAACACCACCAGGCTTGGCAGCGTATATTTAAGCTGGGTTAGGGTAGGAAGGGCGCCTTGACAAAGGAAACGTCGTGAGAATTGTATTTCATTATGTTTTATTATTATTGTATTATTTCCCTTCTACGTGACTTTACCGAAAAGAACCAAGAAGATGAATCCCTGCGGTCACGAAAGCTTTAAATCGAAATAAAATCATCAATCATCATCGTCGCCCAGCCCAGCAGGTGAAGACGGGTGCGTGAGGATGAAGAGGAGGAGTGAGAGTTGACGTGGCCGGTGGAGATGATGGGCCAGGGACCCCCACCAGGGCCCTCTCCTCGCACCGTCGACCCAAGGGGAGCCACGTGGACCGGAGCGGGTCTCCTCGGCTCGGGCTGGACTGGCTCCCTGCTCGTTGGAGTCCTGGTCCTGGGAGTCTATTGGCGAACCCTGCACCCTTCATTGCCCGGTGGAGACTCTGGTACTTGGTGACTCTTTCACAGCAGATCACATGCGATGACTCAAGTCATCCATTGCACTACCGGTTCTCGATTCGAGATAGAACTCGAGTGGTGGAAACACTACGTAACGTAATTTTGTGTTCCTGGGTAGTAAGTGTTAGTTCGTAATTGCTTATGTCTAAAAAGTATAGAAAAAGGCTATTATTCCCCACAAACATTGCTTTTGTGACCAGGACAGTGATATTTAGAAATGTACCTATTTTCAATGAGAAAACGGGCGAATTTGTGTCTTTTCGTTCACATAAAGTCAGAAAAAAATAACATGAATCTAAATTAACGTGTATTTGTACTAAAGTAATAACAAAAAGACTACAAAAGATTTAGAAGTGAGTAGTTTTTCGAGATTTACGATTATACTGTAAATCACTTTCACGAATCAGCCCCCAAATGTAGTCTCCCATCATGTTCTCGTTATACTGTCCTTGGTAGCGGCGTTCAAAGTCCAGTCTATCCTGGTGGAAGCGCTCGCCTTGCTCCTCCGTGTACGCTCCCATGTCCTTGATGAGCATCAAGGATAAGGACTTTGAGGGACATCCTACAGCCCATTGTGCCATTGTTTTTCACCATTCTCAACCAGCTCCACGTAGTTTTCGACCTTGTGATTGCCCAGGAAGCCACGAACCACTGCGACAAAGCTGTCCCAAGCCACTTTCTCCTTACAAGTGAGCATTCTTGGGGAATTAATTGCACTCCAGGATTTTCTTCATCTGTGGTCCGACGAAGACACCGACTTTGACCTTGGCCTCAGACAGTTTAGGGAAGAAGTCTTGAAAGTACTTGAAGGCTGCCGACTCCTTATCTACAGCTCTAACAAATTGTTTCACAATGTCCAATTGGATGTGCAGTGTTGGCATCAGCACCTTCTGGGGGTCTACCAGTGGCTCCCACTTGACGTTGTTCCTCCCCACGCAGAACTCGGTCCGCTGTGGCCAGTCCCGCCTGTGGTAGTGCGCCTTGGTGTCTAAATCTTTTGTAGTAATTTTTGTATTACTTTAGTATAAATAAATATAAATTTGGATTCCTACGTTGTTTTAATCTGACTTTATGTGAACGAAAAGACACATTCGCCCGTTTTCTCATTGAAAATAGGTAAATTTCTAAATATCACTGTCCTGGTCACAAAAGCAAAGTTTGTGGGGAATAATAGCCATTTTCTGTACTTTTGAGGTATAAGAAATTAATAAATAACACTACCCAGGAACAATTTTTTTTTGTTACACAGTGAAATTATCACAAAATGATCACGTATCAGCACAGAATACACCAATACAGGATCTATACACACAAGACAAAGATCCCCCGTATAGCCTTAACAGACTGTAGTGGTAAGTGCTGTTAGTGAGCACCTATGAAGGCCGGAACGGTACACGAGGGGGTGGGTGGCCAACACCTCGCCCGGCTGCCTTTGTCTCCCTAGTGGCAATGTTTACACATCGAACTAGGTACTCATTTGAGGTTGAGTCGACCTAGGGGAGGCCCAGGACTAGTTCAGATAATCGTCACTAGTGTTGACCGCGAGCGGGAGTCGAACCCGGGTTGCCAGGTTCGTAGCGCAGCGTGCAAACCGCTACACTACCGCTCCCCACTATGGACACACACACACCTGGACACACACACACAGCTCTGCATCATGGCCTCGCTCAGAAAGTGCCTAGGTTTGTGGCCGGTCAACTTGACGACATTTTCGTGTTGATGGAGAAATTCAAACAAGTCGCGACGTCGCCTGCGCGGCGCCACCTGCTGGCAAAGCTGGTGCGTCGTCCGTGTTCGAGCGTGAGAGGGAGAGAGGCCGCCCCATTGTGGTGGTGTCTGTGACGATGTGGCTGCTGCTGCTGCTACTGACAGGGGCGCGCTCGTGACACAGACGATGATAACGAGGAGCCGCGGCGTAGTGGTGAGCGCATCGCGCTTCAGAGCTGGCGGCACCGGTTCGCCCCCCGCTCGCGACCAACAACAGTGCCGTATATTTGAACTGGTTCTGGGCCTAGGTCGACTCGGCCTCAAATAAGTACCTGGTGTGGTGCGTAAACATCGCCACTGGGGAGCCAGGGGCGGCCGGACGTGGTGCTGGTCACCGACCCCCCTCGTGTGCCGTTCTGGTCTTCATTAGATGCTCCTCACTAACAGCGCTTGGTTTGAGAGGACAGCATGTCCACCAAGGAGACGGGGCGATGAAATGAGTTTGTGTGCACTTGCTCTCGGTAGATTATTATGGCGCGGCGGCTTGGGGGGGGGGACCCTACATCCAGCGGTGGATCGACCACGGCTTGTGATGATGGCGATGATGTTGCAACTTGGAGCTGTAGTGTCATTGGCTTGGCATTCTCGTGTTGGGTCACGTGGCTCTGCTGCTCTAAATGACCCAGGCATCGCTTGAGCAATAGCTGGGGTCAGCTACCAAAATAACGAGAAGAGACATTTTTTTCCGAATTCGGTAAAAAAAACTAAATATTTCAAGAGCCATGGTGAATATACGAGACGGTGGCAGTCCTTAATAAGTCACGTGTCACGAAGCGGTCCTTAAAGAGCCACCGCATGCGGCTCTGGAGCCACAGGTCGCCGACCACTGAGCCATGGGCACTGGTCGAGCGACCCCTACAACAACGACGGAATTCCGTTCCTGTCGTGGCCACGCTGCTGCCGTGGCAACCTGCGCAGTTGAATTTTTGTCGTGCAATAACGAACAAAAAAAATTAATTGCCAAATTGTTGCGTCGTGAGCAACAGCGCCAACCATAGGCGAAGTTCGTGTTTTGGTGGTGTGGCAGATTATACGGGGTATTAAAAAAAAATACAGTAATTCCTAACCGCTCTGCCAAATGTGTGCGTTATTATTTCTTAAAGCCATATAAAAGCTCATTACAGTACTTTATTAAGCAAAACACGACCCCATAATCTTGCCCAGTGGGTATTCGGCATTTTCATTTGGAATTTTATACCAACTCTGTACAATACACTGCGGGTCCCTGGGTTGTGTTTTTTTTCTTCTTCTTCTAATCGCCGTGCTCTCCGTGCCTTCGCAGGTGAGCTGATCACAGCGGCGCACGAGCTCGGGGTGAGTGATCGCCGCTGGCGCCCCCGCCGCGCTCGTTCTCGCGTCTGTGCCCGCCCGGGCGACGCAACCGACGTCCGACGTTTTCCTCCACGTTGGCGCAGCCTCTTGGTGTTCCCTGTGGGGCGAAACGTCGGGCGTCATGCCGGACAGCGCCCTGCACGACCCGGGACCGCGTCGCAGAGCGACGGTTGACCTGCCGCGAAAACACGCAGCGCGTTCGCAAAGTGCAGCGAAGCGCAGAGTTAAACTTCGCTCATAGGTTTTTTCGGTAAGGTCACGTAGGTAAAAATAAATAAAAATATAATAGAAATAATAATATAAATAAAATAATAAATCATGACGTTTCGGAGGCAACACAAGTCTCCGTCATCAGGTGGGACCGTCACAGCTGAATTTACTGTATTACTTAATATTACTTAATACAGTAAATTCAGCTGTAATATTTTTATTTATTTTTACCAACGTGACTTTACCGAAAAAACCTAAGAGTATGAATCCTTGCAGTCACGAAAGCTTCAAATCTAGAGTTAAACTTCGCTCGCCGGTTTTTCACGAATGCCTCCCGCTACGTCAACGCTATCCCTCGTGACCTTGTGATGCCAAGGTCCACCTTGCTCCTGCCTGGGGGCTGCCCTCTTCGCTTCATCTCCGCGGCGGTTTCTCTCCTCGCCGTGTTCCCACATTTGGCTGCCACTCCGTCGCGAGTCTCGACCGTCTGCCACCGTCCCTTTGAGCCACGGCACGTCCCGCCCATGCCCCACCTACTTTCGTTGACCGTTTGAATTAAGTCATTAACCCGCGTGTGTTCCATAGTTCGCGTGTTTCTCTTCCGGTCTCTTAGTGTAATTCCAAACGTGCGTCCCTCCACGTTTCTTTACACACATTCGTGACCAAGTGTCTGCATTGCATGCAACGGCAGATCGGAATAACATGTTTTAAATGAGTAAACATTGTGAAGAAACATTTTTATACATGGCGCCTTGAGACGCCATCAGATGTATATAATCTGGATTTAGATGGCATGTCAATGTGAGCGAGCGCATCTTGGCCCGCTGTGGATGTCACTTGATCCAAACCAAACTGCATTGCAGTCCATCGCTGCATCCGAGCGGTCATGTGTGCATGCGTGCACGTGTGTGCGCGCGTGTGTGTGTCCTGGGCCTCCCCTAGGTCGACTCAGCCTCAAATTAGTACCTGGTGCGGTGTGTAAACATTGCCACTAGGGAGACAAAGGTAGTCGGGCGTGGTGCCGGCCTTCATAGGTGCTCTTAAACAGCACTTGCCCCAACAGTCTGTTAAAACTACATGGTGGGGGGTCTTTGTGTCGATCTGGCAGGTGGCTCACCCTCCAGGTTACCCACTCTTCACGCTGCTCGCGAAGCTCGCGATGTCGCTCACTTCGTCCGGCTCGCCCGCCTTCCGCGTCAACCTCCTCACCGCCGCCTGCGCCGCCGGCGCCGCTGCGCTCCTCCACGCCGCCGTCCACCGGTACCGCTCGTCCTCGCGCCGGTTTACCGCAGTGACCCCACGCGTCGCGAGGGTCACTGCGCAGGCGGCGTTGGTGGTGCTGCTGCTGCTGCTGCCGCCGCTGCTGCCACGCGGTCCTCCGGCGCGTTCCAGGTTGTGCCGCGTGCCGTTCCGCGCCACGTCCGACGTTTCGCTCCGTATGCCGGGAGCCTTTGTCAATTCGGTAAAAAAAAAAATACTCGATGGGGAAACGGCCAAACATCCAGAAGCAGAACTCTCCCCAGTAATTATTATTCTTGCTGTTGTGATGTTTGATCGTAATGGGAATTCAGCGTCCAAAGCCAAAGTGTTTGCAGGGTGTAATGAATCTGGTGAGAGGGCTCTCACCCGGTGAGCAGAGGACGCCGTGAGCAGGGCCGCAGGTGCCTCCCGTGGCACGTGCGTCAGGTGACGCCCGTGGCGCGTGTGTCAGGTGACGCAGCTGGCTGCCCGTGGCACCCTCCACACGGCCTTCCTGGTGTGCCAGGGGGCCTCGGGTGACGACGACGTTGTATTTTTCGATTTAAAGCTTTCGTGACTGCAGGGATTCATCTTCTTGGTTCTTTCGGTCAAGTCACGTAGAATGGAAATAATAAAATAATAAAAATAAAACATAATTAAATAATTCTCACGTTTCAGCCACAACGCAAACAGCCGGTATAACTTTAATGAATTGCGGGCCCCCCCCCCGGACTGGCTGCTTGCGTTGTGGCTGAAACTGTCGTGAGAATTATTTTATTATGTTTTATTTGTATTATTTTATTATTTCCATTCTACGTGACTTTACCGAAAGAACCAAGCAGGCGACGTTGTAGTTTGCGCCGCTTCGGTTATGCGGGTCGTTTGACCATACTTCACCAAATTTTTAAAGTTATACACGCAAATTGGAAAAACACAGAACCATCGCACCCTACTGTGAGTCTTAGCAGGACCCTCACGAAAACCAGCCTCGAGAATCGCCGAGTCTTCCCAGAGTGTATAAACGACATTGTGTTGTCCTTGTGGGTCGTGGGCAAGGGCCGTGCAGGACCGGTGCAGTTTTCACTCGCCAGCCGTGACTGGCAATCGAACTCAGGTCTCCGAGTTCTTAGTGCAATGCGCTAACCGTTGCGCCGCCGCTCCACCGACGAGTATCAATCGACACCCTGGACACCCGTTTGCATTTGAGACGGTTTTATCTCGAGGGATTTTGCCGGTTAACTACTGTAATAAATAAGTAAAGAAATGTTGTAATAAATAAATGCTGTAATAAATAAAGGACAAATCGTCATCTGTTCCATGAAAAAATATTGCCGACCATTGTTGATGTTGGGGGTGGGCTCGGCGATTGATTCATTAAAACAAAATCACGTAAAAAAAAATCCCGCGATTAATTTTTGACGTCGCTGTCGATGGGGGGGGGGGGGGGGGGGCGCGTGCCGACCCGGACACGCCTTTTAATTCCCTTGTAGTGACGACGCCGTTGCTCAGCCTGTACGCCCGCAGGTACATGCAGCCCTGCGTCGAATAGTCCAGCCGTTTAAGCAGCCTCATGAAATAATGTAAAACCGAAGTTGTGCATAAGTCAGAATTAATGTGGATATGGTTCTCCCAAGTTTGAAATGAGAAATCTCAATACCCCTAATGATTGGCACGCAGCTTACGGCGGCGGGAGCCGATTATGAGTGACGGGTGAATAAAACGTTTGGAGTATAATAAGAATGTGCAATTTAAAGTGTGTCAAGCCCTCCTTGGGCTTGCCGTGGTGAAGGCCGGGTATAACTTTAATGAATTGCAGGCCCCCCCCCCTCCTCCTCCTCCCTCCGCGTCCCGTCGTGCCCAGCCCCCCGCGGGCGCGCGGCTGTTTGTGCGAAGGGAGTCCCGGCGACGGGAGAATGGGTGGGCACAGCTGGGGCAGGCGCCTGCCACCCCTCCGATACGGCGCGGCGTGCGCGATGAGCTTCTAATCCGGGCGCGGGAGATTAAAACGGGGCGCTAATCCGTGGACGTCGCTCCGCCGTCGGGGCCGATGCGACGGGGAGGAGAGCGGGGGGGCGGGCGTAGGGGCCGCCACCCTCTGACGCGCCCGTCACACAGAGGAGCTGACAAGCCCGGGTCAGGGGTCGGCTCATCCCGTCGGGCGTTCTGCGGCGGCGGGGATTAGCTCTCCACCGCGAGATGCATTACCATTTCAATGGCGGGATTTGCAAAGTTATTGTTGCCGCTCGCTAAACTTGTGAAACGTAGCTAACGGTTTGTAGTGCCGCTTTCGTAGATTACCATTAACCTCCTGCTTAACCTTTTTTTTTTTTCTCGCGGCCGATCGGGAAGCATATGGAGGGCCGGCTTGCAATACAGCTGCGCCGCTCGTTGTGTTTACGAATTTAGCGACAAGTCCGCTCGATCGCCTTGAATGCGCTCCGGGCGTAAGCCCCGTGTACCTGTGCGTTGACGGCGGCCGGCAAGATCGCGCTTAATGTCGCTCGCTGTTTAAATAACTCGATCCAAGCTTTACGAGCGAAATCGCTGTCAAGTGACTTATTTTTTTTTTTGTTTGCCCCGATCGCGTTCGCCGGTGGTCAGAAGCTACAGACCTGGCACCGCCAATCGCAGCTTTCACAGCGGCGGCGGCGGCAGCGGCAGCCACAACACGATGGCTCGCTTCGTGGTTGAGGGTTTCATGAGGTGCCGCTGCCACGCCGTGGAAGTTGGCGGCGTCCCGCTATTGAAGGGATCTCGGTGACATCGGATCCGTAAAGTTAATGCCCCCACCCCCCGACCCCCCCTCCCCCCCCCACTTGAGGGTAATTATCTGAACCAGTCAAAGACGAGCGGAGCGCGCGCGCGATGATTCCATTAAACATTCGCTACTCCCCGCGGGGAAAACGCGGACCCGACGTCTCTCCGGTCCACGTCTGAACGTCACACCGGACGCTGCCGGCGTGCGGGCGTGCAGGGCCTCCGGCTCCGTGCCGGCCGGCGTTCTCGCCGCGGGCCTCTTCGCCTTCTCGCGCCTCACCTGGCACTGGGCGGTCGCCGCGGAGGTGTTCAGCCTCAACAACCTCCTGGTGGCGCTGCTCGTCCTGCTGGCGGCCTGTTTCGGCGCGGCGCCGGACGCGCCATCGCGGTGCAAGGTGAGTACCGGCTGTGCCTCGTGTGTGCGTGCCTCTGTGTGTGCGTGTGTGTGCGCGCGAGTTGCCACAACTGCATCTTGCCAGTCGTCTCGGTCAGTCAACCCGCGGCACCCGTGCTCTGTCCCGTTCTCTGTCCCGTGACCTTCTGTCAGCGACCCGGCAACACTTCACGTGGCCTCAAAGGGCAGACGTGCCGACCCATGGACGTTAACCCCGGCAGGGAATTGAACCTAAAGTGGGCAGGATTGTAGGTGACTAACGACTGCACCGCCGATCCCCACTCACACACATGTTGTTGCTGCTTCCATAATCGTGCACATGTCAAGGTCAACGGGTCATCGCAGATAATGCTGGTGATTAATGATTAAGCAAACTCGGAGGTGCAAGTTGATGAAGCCCCCACAATGCCCCACGGCTTCCTCCCTCCCGCTGGATCTCACAGCTGGAGCCTTGTGGACACCTGACCTTCACAGCCTGACCTTCACAATCTGACCTTCACAGCCTGACCTCAGCCTGACCTTCTCAACCTGACCTTCACAGCCTGACCCTCACGGCCTGACCTTCTCAGCCTGACCTTCACAGCCTGACCTTCACAACCTGACCTTCACGGCCTGACCTTCACAGCCTGACCCTCACGGCCTGACCTTCACAGCCTGACCTTCACAGCCTGACCCTCACGGCCTGACCTTCACAGCCTGACCTTCACAGCCTGATCTTCTCAGCCTGACCTTCACAGCCTGACCTTCACAGCCTGACCCTCACGGCCTGACCTTCTCAGCTTGACCTTCACAGCCTGACCTTCACAGCCTGACCTTCTCAGCCTGACCGTCACAGCCTGACCTTCACAACCTGACCTTCACAGCCTGACCTTCACAACCTGACCCTCACGGCCTGACCTTCACAGCCTGACCTTCACAGCCTGACCTTTACAACCTGACCTCAGCCTGACCTTAACAGCCTGACCTTCACAACCTGACCTTCACAGCCTGACCCTCATGGCCTGACCTTCACAACCTGACCTTCACAGCCTGACCTTCACAACTTGACCTCAGCCTGACCTTCACAGCCTGACCTTCACAGCCTGACCTTCACAGCCTGACCCTCACGGCCTGACCTTCACAGCCTGACCTTCACAGCCTGACCTTCACAGCCTGACCTTCACAGCCTGACCTTCACAAACTGACCACAGCCTGACCTTCACAACCTGACCTTCTCAACCTGACCTTCACAGCCTGACCTTCACAGCCTGACCTTCACAACCTGACCTTCACAGCCTGACCTTCACAGCCTGACCTTCTCAGCCTGACCTTCTCAGCCTGACCTTCACAGCCTGACCTTCAAAAATTGACCTTCAGAGCCTGACCTTCACAACCTGACCTTCTCAACCTGACCTTCACAGCCTGACCTTCACAGCCTGACCTTCTCAGCCTGACCTTCACAGCCTGACCTTCACAGCCTGACCTTCACAAACTGACCTTCAGAGCCTGACCTTCACAACCTGACCTTCTCAACCTGACCTTCACAGCCTGACCTTCACAGCCTGACCTTTACAGTCTGACCTTCACAGGCCTGACCTTCACGGCCTGACCTTCACGGCCTGACCTTCACGGCCTGACTCTCACGGCCTGACCTTCACAGCCTGACCTTCACAGCCTGACCTTCACGGCCTGACCTTCATAGCCTGACCTTCATAGCCTGACCTTCATAGCCTGACCTTCTCAGCCTGACTTTCACAGCCTGACCTTCACTGTCTGACCTTCACAGCCTGACCTTCACGGCCTGATCTTCATGGCTTCATCACCCCCCGCCCCATTTCGTTTGTGGTCATGATCTTGATGGCTGACCTCTTGAGTGCTTTTGCATTTCATCATCATTATTGGCCATGATCTCTCCACTGCTGGACTCAAGCCTCCCCAGTCCGTCGCCATCTCTCATGGTCCTGCGATGTAATGCTTCCTCTAGTGCCTGCGCACAAGCTGAATTCATCGCTCCATCTCCGTGGCGAGTGTTGTTTACCCTTGTAGTATGATCTTACAGGTACACTTGCAGGCACCGCTGAACATTTATAACATTCAGCTTTTACACGAAATTATTTAAATTGTTTTTGTCAGAGAGAATTTTTTTGTGTGGACAATACTCAGCCCTTGTTCAATCCACTGCTGGATGAGGGCCCTGTCAGGGGTTGTTTGAGCACACTTCAGCACCGGGTCGGTGAGGGCTGATGGGGGAGGGTGCGTGCAGGCCCACTTCAGATCTCGACTCACCACCGGTGTTGGCTGTAGCCGAAAATAGAACCTGAGGTGGGCGGGTTCATTGCTCGGTGAGCTAACCACTGCACCACCGCTCAATAGAATGTCGGGCAAACTTAAACCCAAATCTTCCCGTGCTAATCCTAGAACAACTGCGCTGCCACTGGGGGATCGTACGTTGCAAAATAAAACCGCGCGCGTGTGTGTGCGTGTGTGTGCGTGTGTGTGGGTGCGTGCGCGTGTGCCAACGTCTCGCTCGTCCGCTATCCGTCTCTGTTTCCCCTCTCTCGGGCGACATGTCGTATCAACGTTGCCTCGTCATCCCAGCCCAGTGTGGCACACAACGCGCCGCTCGCTGTCGAATGGCCGTGTGGGCTTGCGATAGTTCTGCAGCGTGCGTTGTGAAATGCGCGGGGTTTTCGGCCACCCTGAGTGTTGCCTTTGAATCGCGGCTCCTCGCGCGCGGTTAAGCTCGGCCGCCTTAGCGCAGATTCCCTTGCAGGTCAGCGGCGAGAGTGGCCCTCGACGACTTCAAACGGAGCGCGAGTCTCCGTGAAGGTGTAATACCTATTCTTGACTTAAAATTGCGCGCAGATGTGCATTGGGTTATGGAGATCGCAATTGCATTCCGCGTATTAGACGTTACACCTACTGGCAGATTATTCCTGGTCTGCGGTGTCTGTACTATGTGGGTGTGTGCGCGTGTGCGTATGTCTGCAAGTGGGTGGTGATTATCTGAACCGGGTCTGGGCCTCCCGTAGGTTAACTCAACCTTAAAGCAGCATCTGGCGTCGTGAGCGAAAAAAACATCCGAATCCCCGCGCATGGTAATGGCCACGGTACCCCCTCCTCGTTATCCGTGCCGGCCTGTTGAAGGCTCTACAGGGGATGTTTGTAAGTAAGGAGTGCTGGCGCAGTGATTAGCGCACAGTGCTACTAACATTGTATGCCTGGCCACGGATAACTTTGGTGGCGAGTGGTCTCGGCGACCCATAGGTTGACTCGGCCTTAAATGAGGACTTGGTGCGGCGTGTACACATCAGTACTGGGGAGACAAAGGCGGCCGGGTGTGGTTCTGGACAGATAGTGCCATTGCACGCCACACTGGCCTAAACAGGAGCTCGCTAACAGAACTTTACCCAATAGTCTCCAAGGCTGTACGGGGGAACGTTGTCTGTATGCGTCTATGCAGTGTACGCACAACGCACGCGCAACGCACGCACAACACACGCGTGTTTCAGTTTGTATCGTGAAGACACTTTACATTGATGTATTTTTGGCGAGAGATGCTCCTCGTGGTTTCTGTCAGGAGCAATCCGGACGCTCGGGATTTCAAGGAAGGGACAGGGCCAGCGACTTGTCATCGGCGAACAGAAGGTGGCAGGCAGAGCGTTTGGCACGTCGTCAGGACGAGGAGGTCGCGATGGGCGGGATGCGTGGCTTGCAGGGTTGAGGAGGAGGGCAGGTGACCCAGACGGGCATCGCAGTGACGCCCAGAGGTCCGTGACCCCAGGGAAGACCTCGAGCCAGACGGTGCCGATGATCACGAGGCTGGGCGGTGATGCTTGGAGGTCAGGGGTCATTCGCCCCAGCAGCTGCAGGAAGTCTCAGAAGAGAGCGGTGGCAGCAACAGCTTTGGCAGTGACGACCTCTTGACCTTCACCTTGCAGATGTCAGCTGTTTTTTTTTTCCTCCGAATGCCAGCTGGGCGCTGTCGTGGTAGCTCCCATGCTGCACAGCGAGAAGAACATCAGTTCAATTCCCGACTCGGGTCTCCTGTGTGGAGTTTGCATGTTCTCTCCCCCTGTTCTGCACAGGTTTCCAGGTTCTCCGATTTCCTCCCAGAGCTAAAACTCACACACACACACCGTGTAACTGGTATTGGCCAAACAAATCTCTCAAAAACTACCTGCGAATTACTCACTTGGGATCATGCACGGCAGCAGCTTCTCCTGCTGCTGCGAAAACTTGGCAGGACCCTCCTGAAACAAAACCAAAAGATTTGCGAGACTCGGCGAGGCCTTGCTGGCTACGCGGGCAGGAATCCGAAGGACGACGACACCGGCAGAGCTCGCGCCGACGGGGGAAGAAACGCGTCGCTTTCAGTGTCCTCGCCCGTTGTCTCCGCAGTTCGCCAAGGCCGGAGCGTTCGTGTGCGGCCTGAGCCTCAGCAACCAGCACACGGCGTCGCTCTACGTGGCGTGCCTGGTGCCCTGGGCGCTGCACGCTCTTCTCAAGCGCAAGGTGGTGTGGGAGGTCGCACGCACACACGCACGCACGCACGGCGCCGCTGCGGTGCTCCGGCAGTGCGAGCGTGCGAATCATCCCGGAGATGAGCAGAGCGAGATGAGAGCGGTCCGGACCGGATGGTCTTGACGCAAGCGCCGCATCGGGACCCTTAAGCTCGCACGCGTGGAAGCGACCGCGCGGCTCAGCCTCCAGATCACTAAGCTGGCACCATTGAGAGCCGAGAGCTGGAATCCCAGTAATTAATAGTGCTGAAGCCACTGTCAGAATATGGCTTTATTGGTACCAGCCGGGTGTGGCAAATGCTAACAAGGATTTTATTGAAATATTTTATCTCTACATCACAAATGTGTACGATAGCAAGGGCGCCGTGGTAGCTTTGTACAACAAAAATGTGAACTGTCCCGTCATGTGTTCGGGCGTGGGAGCATCAGGCGGTGCGTACGCTGACATTCCAACTCGTGTACACTGCCCGTGGTGGACACTGGCCACGGTGGACTTTGCCCGTGGAGGACCTCTTGAACGTAGTGCCGTTCGCAGGAATAGAACAGCATTTTTTGTCGCCCCAGGTGGTAGCCAGCTAATCCCCTTGGCTCACGGCGTTCAGGATTTTGACGTGGACCCCGCGCTCCGTCGGCTCGCGAGCTGACCCCCGACCCCCGACCCCCGACCCTGCCGCTCGCTCGCCCAGGAGCTGGGGGCCGCGCCGCTGCTGCGCCTCGCGGCCTGCTCGGCCGCCGGGCTGCTGCCCCACCTCTACCTGCCCGTGTCGTCACACCTGGGCCTCGCGCGCTGGACCTGGGGCGACCAGTCGTCCCTGCACGGGTTCCTGACGCACCTGCTGCGCCAGGAGTACGGGACGTTCAGCCTGGTGAGCGAGCGCTCCCTCCTCACCCGGTGGCTATGCTGCTGCTGCTGCTGCACGTGGCTGCCTGGAACCCGGCGACGTAGAGGCGGCAGCAGCGAGGATTGGTGGATCGCACACGGATGGGCTGTGAAACTCCCTTCCCCCGTGGGCGTCGAGGAGGAGAGACGTTTCTAGGCGCTCGCCAGGAGAAGGCAGGACGGCAAATGTGGACTAATGTCACCTGTTCTGTATGGGATACAATGTTGACCCCTGTTCTGTTTGGGATAGTGTTGACCCCTGATCTGTATGGGATAGAGTGTTGACCCCTCGCATGCGTGGGTTCTCTCCGGGCACACAACTCATGATTGGGCAGTAACATCTCAATATGTGGAGAACCACAGAGTTTGGGGAATTTTTGGTAGCGCCAGCTGCTGCTGCCTGGTGCCTGAGGCTCCTCGGGGCATTGTGAGAGAAGCAATTGGCAGGAACATTGACTACGATGTAAAACTATACATTGACTACGATGTTAAATTAAAGATTGACTACGATTTAAAACTAAACATTGACTACGATGTAAAACTAAACATTGTTATGTAACTTCTTCCCTTCTTTTCTCTCCATTTTCCCCCAATTAGTTATTTTATTACATCGTCATGAATGAAACAGTGTAACCGGAATTGGCCACAAATTCCATTGCTGAAAAAGATTACCTGACAATCACTCGTTTGGGATCACACAGCAGTAGCGGCAGCAACATCGCCTCCTGCTGTGAACACCTGGCAGGACCCTCCTGAGAGTGAGCCTTGAGACTCAGCGAGGCTCTCCTGGGTAAACGAGCGTCAATGGAACAAATCAATATGATTGCCCGTGACCATTGGCCAGTTGCAGCTAATCCCTGATGTGGAACGTGCCCTCACTCGCACTGCTTTACACGACACGGCAAGGGAGAACGTCGCTTGACCACACGTCATGCGGCCAACCCCAAATCGCCCGCAGTGCGCGTGATCTCGCCACGTCTCGGAAGTTAAGCAGGGTTGAGCCCTGGCCAGCGCTTAGACGTGCGAGCACCACGACATGCAAACAATGGCGGAGTGTGCAGCGCAGCACACTCAGTCATTGTGCTGTGTTATGCTCCAACGTCCGTGCTCTTCGCCGCCTCCAGCCCTCGCTGACCAGCGTGCTGAGGCCTTCGTCCGGCGGTGGATGGCCGCGGCTCTCGAGTGTTTACCCCTTGGCGTCTCCGCTCCGTTCTGTGCTGCAGGCCAAGTCCGGGTCGGGCTCGGGGATGCTGACGATGCTGAGGTACGGCGAGCGCCGCCGTGGTTCTGCGTCGGCAGTGGGGCACAAAAACTCAACTCATCCCTCGATAACACCGGGGCCCTAAAAGGAAAAAAGCATGTATATTATAGGCAACATTTAGGGCGTAAATGTGTAATAGTCATGAGGTCGCGATGGATGGGGTTGTGAGGTCGTGAGGGATGCAGTCTCGAGGGACAGGGTCATGAGGTCGCGAAGGCCGGGGTCGCGAGATATGGGGTCACGAGGGGTGGGGTCATGAGGGATGGGGTCGCGAAGGATGGGGTCGCGAGGTCGCGAGGGATGGGGTCGCGATGGAAGGGGTCGCGAGGGACAGGGTCGCGAGGGATGGCCGAGTGTTGAGACGGCGGTATGAGGGGATGCTGCCCGCGTGTGTTGCGCAGCGTGCAGGCTGCACACATGCACCGCGAGCTTCTGGGCGTGGGACCCCTGCTGGCTGCAGCGCTCTTCCCCCTGCTCGTTAAACACAGGTACCAACACGGGCACCGACCACGCGTACCAACACGGGTACCAGGATGTGCGCTACCACAGGTATCAAGACAGGTCCCTAGACAGGTACCGAGAGAGGCAGTGCATGTGTGTGTCTCCGTTGGGGGGTCAAGGCAGTGTTCATGTGGGGGGGGTGGGTGGCTTCCCCCCCCCCCACCGGCGGGATTTCCACACCCACGTTATGGAGCAGCATGAGTTTCAGCGAGCAAACTCTGGGCCGGGTTTTTTGGCCTTCCGGGTCTCGTGGGCAGCGTCAGGCCTTGTTAAGCGAACGCTGCTGGATCACACCCAGATGTCGTTCGCGCCGGGCCTGACCCCCGGTGCCTCTCTCCTCTGAAAATAACAAAGCCGCGAGAGACACGGAGATGTCCAGCTCGGGCGAGCGTCGAGGCGGCGCTCCTCGCCTCGATGCAGCCCTGAGCCAGCGGTGAGAAATTCCTCGTTCCCGAGCTTACGGACGGGACAGCCACCGTCGGACCTTCCCACAGCGATAACACTGTGTAACAATTATTTTTGTAGTAAGTCTTATTTCCTAATTGCTTATGCCTCAAAAGTACAGAAAATTGTTATTATTCCCCACAAACTATGCTTTTGTGACCAGGACAGTGATGTTTTGAAATTTACCTATTTTCCAGAACATTCCAGATAGATTCAGCGATTAGAATCATTCCATCGACCCCGGAGGGATGACGAGCCTAGTCAACCCCCGCGTGGCCACGGTCAATTCACGCTGGGCGGACTTCACCTTTTATTTTACTTTTATTAATTTTAACTTTGATTAAAATGTTTTACCTACGTGACTTTACCCGAAAAAAAACCTAAGAATAGGACTTCACCTTCCTCGCTCGCCGCGCCGGTGACACCGTCGTGGTGTCGGAGCGACGACCCGCCGCCTTTCGGGACACAAAAACCTCTCCCCTCCCTCCCCCCCCCTCCTCAAGGAGCCGCGAGCGAGACGCGTTGCCGCCCCTGCTGCTGGCGCTCATGCTCGCCGTCTACTCGCTGGTGTTCGCCTGGAGGGCCAACCTGGACGTCTCGACGCCGCTGCTCCTGGGCGTGGTGAGAGAGACGCTCGCGCGAAGAAAGGAGACGTCGGTCGACGGTCGAGACTCACGACGGAGCGGCAGCCAGAGGAGAGAACGCTCGCCAGACCCAGCGATGGAATCGCGATGCAGCACTCCACGATGATCCACGATGATCGCACAGAGCTCATTATACCGTGCTGTCCATCCTCTCGGACGCGTTCCCTCCATTGGCTGCCACTCCGTCGTTAGTCTCGACCACCGGCCATTGCCCCTTCTAGCCGCGACGCGTCCTGTCCAAGCCCACTGACGGTCGTGATTGTCGGTTCAATTTGAAGCCTTTTTCTGTCTCGTTGTAATTCCAAGCGCGTGTCTCGCCATGCTTATTTTTGTGCACTTTTCAACTTGTTAAAGATGTATCAGCAGTCTGGATGTCACTTGCATATCTGTGAGCACAATGATCCCCCTTGTAGCTGGAACAGACTGACGATGTTTACACACCGCACCAGATACTAATTTGAGGCTGAGTCGATCTAGGGGAGGCCCAGGATTGGTTCAGATTATCGTCACCGTGAGCGGGAATCGAACCCGGGTCGCCGGGTTCGTAGTGCAGCGTGCTAACTGCGACACTACCCCGTGTTCAGACATGGCAATACTTTAGTTGTATTTGCATGCCCCCCGCTTTGTGTTTTGTTGGCAAATAGCTCAGCCTGTTGGCTTAACCAGTCAAACATGTTTACTCAACAATTTAGAACGAGCCTCTTGGACTCCGTATGTAAGTAGTTGGGGCTCTGTAAATGTTATCTTACAGACAACAACAATAATAGTACCCTTTGTTTATCTATGAAAGGCTTGCAGATTTTTTGGTTTTAGTATTTCACAAGAGCACTGTGCATTTTTCGTGGGACCCACGGCCTAGGTGGAGGGTTGGGGACGGTGAGGGAGGGTGAGGGGGTGGCGACGCAACACACGAACCCAGCAGATGTATGCAGTGACGTCACCACTGCACACTTCCCTGCCCGCACCAGCCAGCAAAACTTTTCTCATCTCGTCTGACATGATAGGTCCAGCACGTGGAAGCTTGGATGATTCCTCACTGATCAGTTGGCATGTGGGAGACAACCAGAGTGCCCGGAATCCATAGCGATTGGTTAGCTACCTACTTTCTGTACTGCCATCTCATACCGCCTTCTCCCCACCCCATAGCTCTGCAGGATGAACGTCTCACCGGTGCAATAATCTTGATGTGGTCCACCAACCCTACCTACAAAGCAGTCACCAGTGGACCGTGATACCTGAACCTGTGACCTTTCCTAGGGTGACTCGCCCTTAAATAGGTACCTGGTGCAGTGTGTGTAGTCATCAGAACTGGGGAGACAGAGGCAACCACACGTGGTGCAGGCCACATGATGATCTCGGGCGCTGTGCTCGCTAACAGCGCTTGCCGCCAGCGCCTGTTGAGTAGTCCACTGGAGCTATGCACTTTAAAATCTAGATCGAAAAGTAATTTCTTATAACCGCTTTTTGTGTTTAGTGCGTCATCCTTCCCGCACACCTCGGATTAGCCACGGTTGGTTACGTACGGTGCGATAACAGTTCAACATGCATGCGTACGAGGCTCCTGTGTGTTGTTGTTGTTGCAGGTGGAGCGCTTCTGGCTGCAGAGCAACCTCGTGGTCTGCGTGCTGGCCGGCATGGCCGCCGCTCGCCTCGGCGCCCTCGCGCGCGCCCTGCTGGGCCACGGGAGGCCGCTGGCCGCTTGCGAGTGGCTGCTCGTGGCCTGCTGCGTCCTGCTGCAGCTACGGCGCAACTACAGGTGAGGCCGGCGACGTCGCCCTTCGTGGGGCACCGGCGATGTCGTAATCGTTGTCGTCGGCCTGCGGTCAATCCGCCGCCGGACAAAGGCCTTCGCGAGCCGTCGCCATCTCTCGCGGGCCCGCGCTGAAGCTGTCGCTCCATCTCATGGGTGGTCGTACATACACATTGCTCTGATACTGGTGTCCTTGGAGCAGGGAATCACGTCGTCGTCGTTGTTGTTGTTGCTGCGTTGTTGCTGTGTCAGCGTGTGCGACCAGAGCTCCAACGTGGTGGTGGAGCAGTTTGGGGCCAACATTTTGCGATCGCTGCCACGCGGCGCACTGGTGCTGACGCGGGGCGACCTGCCGGGAAACGCGCTGCGCTACTTCCACTACTGCGAGCACCAGAGGCCCGACGTGGCCCTCGTGGACCAGGAGGTGAGGCTTTGGCCACCGGCGGACGCACGCACGCGACTCGCGATGGAGTGACGGCCAAGGGACGGGACGCGTCCGTCGTGTAGATGGAGTGACAAAAACCGGTCCGTGTGCCGGGGCAGAGTGGATTGTTATATTGTGGGATCGTGAGAGATATCGACGGCAGTGGCGGCTCGGGGAGGTCTTAATCCAGCAGTGGATTGACCATGGCTGATGATGATGAATATTAACTTGAGAGCCTATAGTCAATCCACAACGAGATGGGTGCCTCCCGCACTCTCCCACACTCACCCACATTCTCTCACCCTCTCTCACACTCACCCACACTCTCTCATACTCACCCACACTCATCCACATCCAGGATCCCACACTGACCCACACTCTCACACTCTCCCATCCTCACCCACACTCACCCACACTCACCCACACTCACCCACACTCTCTCACACTCTCCCACACTCACCCACACTCTCTCACACTCACCCACACTCTTCCACACCCACCCACACTCTCCCACACTCACCCACCCTAACCCACACCCACCCACACTCTCCCACACCCAGGATCCCCCACTCACCCACACTCTCCCACACTCACCCACCCTAACCCACACCCACCCACACCCACCCACACCCACCTACACCCTCCAACACCCAGGATCCCCCACTCACCCATGCTCTCTCACACTCATCCACGCTCACCCACACTCTCCCACACCCAGGATCCCACACTCACCCACACTCTCTCACACTCTCCGACCCTCACCCACACTCGCCCACACTCACCCAGACTCCCCACACTCACCCACACTTACCCACACTCACCCACACTCTCCCACACTCACCCACACCCACCCACACTCTCCCACACCCAGGATTCCACACTCACCCCCATTCTCCCCACACCAATTCTCGAGTGTGCATGCACCGTCGGTGGCTGGGGGTGGGTTGGTGGTGGTGGAATGTGCTTGCGTAATTGTGAGAGTGATTAAGCGCAGAAAATGCTTACGAACAAGAAAATACTTAATAACAAGAAATTAGCGGGTGGTGGTGGAGGTGGGGGGGCGTGTTGCGGCTTGTTGATACGCAGCAGCAGCTTGATCCGCGGGCTCTTCATTTACAAACTTCACCGCGCAGGAGTTGATCGCCGTGGCGTGCGCGTGCTTGCCTCCCCGCTCCGCTCGCGGGTCCACGCTCGCCGCGACGTCACGGCGAGCGTGCCCGCGGCGTCGCTCCTCGCCGTGCTCTGCCGCTCGGGGGTCCGGAATTCCTGTCGCCCGCCCCCCGTGTTAATGCCCCGCATTGTACATCTGCGCATGCATAATTGCTTAATTTCGGCCTTGTGATTCGGTTGGAAGGGCTGACTGCGGTTGGCACGCGTTCCCAATTGCCTCGCGCGCGAGGCCACAGCTTGGTGGATCGCTGCGCGCTGGAGATAAGCCACGCGGGGCTGAGGCTGAGAGGTTTTTTTTTCTTCCTTCCGATATGAGGAAAAGGCGCAAAAATACTACACACACCCGCACAAACACCCCCGCACGCATGCACACATTTACTCTCTTCCCACCAAGAGCTCGCGCCGTTGATGGGGCTGTGACGGAGCGCCGTTCCGCGAGCGTCAGCGCCGGTCTCCCGGGCGGGTGACGTGCGCGAGCGGGGGCTGGCTTCGGCTTAACGTCTCATTGTGCGGCGGCGGCCGCGGCGCGGGTCACACTCAGGAACCCTCGGCAACCTCTCCACGTGAAAGGGATCCGCTCTGTTTATTGACGTTTGCGTTAACGCCAGCGCGGGGAATTAACCCGCGAGCGTCGGGGAAACGGTCCGCGTGGGCCCCGCGATTAGTCTCGGCGCTTCCCCGCCGCTTCGCCGGCGCTTCGCCGCCGCTTCACTGGCGCTTCACCGGCGCTTTGCCGGCGCTCGCGTTTCGCGAAAGTGCCGCGTCGTGCGCCACCCCGAAAGGAGATCGCAAACATGATTTTAATCATTTGAATGCAGCGCGATGATGACATTTAATTGGTCATTTTAGTTTCTACCCCACCACCAAGTGACGCAAAATGTCGCGCTTTAATAAACGCAGGCTAAGGTTTTATTTTAACATTTTTTTATTTGCCTATTAAATGAAGGCAATCTCTATCCATCATAAATCTATACTCTGATCTATTCCGAACGATTAGAAATTCAGGGCACCTTTTGCAGTTTTCAGTTTTGCGACTGGCAGGCGCACGCCAAGTGGCCGTCGCGAGTGCCCCGTTGTAGGTTCACCATCACCAGCCATGGTCCTTCCACTGCTGGACGAAGGCAATCCCAGTCCACCGCCACCCCTAACGATGGATCCCGCGATGTCGCATTCCGCCTGGCACCGGCGTACGAGCCGATCCATCGCGGAGGTTGTCAGGTCACGGTCAATGCTGGCGACCGCCGCGATGGGAGGGTGGTGGGGGTGGATGAGTGAGTGTGTGGGTGGGTTGCTGGGTGGGGTGGGGTGAGGGTTAATTGCCGTAGCTTCGGCGCGATTGCTCCTCCACGGCCCGCTCGGGCCCTGTCGGCTGCCAAGACGCGGCGAGCTCCTGCGGCGGCTTCCTCTCCAGGAGGATTAACGTGCAGAAGAAAAGGAGGGAAATGAGCTGCTTTTCAGGGCGTCTGACAACTGATTGGCGCCGCTGGAGTGGGTGTTAGGCGGCCGGTATGACTGCTCGTTTAAATAACTCGCGGCTGATTGACGGAGCGTTTGTGAAACGCGTTTAGAAACGAGGAGCGCCTGCCGTGGGGCGATAACCGCCGAGCGGCGCTCGCCGCGATACGAGCGGCGTGCCGAACGCAGCCGGCCGCGCCGGGACTTACACGTTGGTTTTGCCCGACGCGTTGCTCAGAGTTGGGCTGACAATGTTTCGTGCTCATGTCTGCTCCTGAATTCGGGGTTTAAAAATACACGCACGCATGCACAAGAGTCGCTTGCGGCGCGAGCAGCGGAGGCTTTCTGCCGCCGGGATTTTGACGCGTTCGGTAAATACGTCCGCGAAGAAAACCCAAATAATAACGCCTGTCGATGGCGAATCGTGAATCGGTGAATGTTGGTGTCCGGTATCAAGTGTGAAAATTGTTCGTTGCTTAGTGTCGACGTTGGGGCTGCCGCGATCCTGCGATGTCACGATCCATGCAGTGCCCACGCGCGAGCCGACTCCTCCGCTTCCATCTCCACGGGCGATGTCCTGCCAGTGACTGCCCTCTCTCCCCGTTAAATATGACAACGTTCTTGAGATGCCATTGCATTTAGACGCTGTGTGTTGTATTATTTTATCGCGCCTATGTGAGTGTTTGTGCGTGTGCGCACTTATGCAGGCAGTGGCGGCACAGTGGTTAGCGCACTTACGCTATGAACCCAGCGACTCGAGTTCCATTTCCATTAACGGCCAACATCTGAACTGACCCTGGGCCTCCCCTAGCTCAGCTCAGCCTAAAATAAACAAGTGGCTGGTTCGCTGTGTAAACATCGCTACTGGGGAGCCAGAGCCGTCGGCCGGACGTGGTGCTGAGCTGAATAGGTGCTCGCAAACAGCACCATTTCGTGCGTGTGTGGTTGTTGCACGCAGCTTCTGACGTACCCGTGGTACGTGCGCAAGCTGGGCCGCCACCTGCCCGGCGTGCACTTCCCTGGCGACCGCTGGCATCCTGCGGAGGGCCTGCACCCTGACGGGACGCTCGCCTTCAGCATGAGGAGTTTCCTGGAGGAGAACCGGGGGTACGCTCCCCCCCCCACACCGCCACTCCCCCCACCGCCACCCCCCCCACACCGTCACCCAATGCCAGGCTGTGAAGCAGGCCTGGCTCCGGCTCCTATCAATAATAATATTCTGACATTGTACCTATAAGCCTATAATCCTATGCGCATGTTTATCGGAATGTTAGAGTACAATGACGAGAAAAAAAATCAAGGCGATATCAATCGCTGGGTGTAGCATTGAGATTTGGATCACTCGCACGGCAGTGGCGTGCCTTCGTGCTAGAGGACGGCCCGCAGAAGCGGGTATCACGGAGTTACATCTGAGATCACTTCAAGTGAGCTCTGTTCAACACGGCGGGGAAGGCGATTTCCCACCCACTCTGCATATTAGAGTAATGTCCATGGGATAGGCCATGGCTGATGACGATAATGATGATGATGGCACTGCAGGTGTATTGACCGCGAACACGCGCAGCCCGCTGCACGGAGGAGTTTCGCGATCCGGCGACACGAGCGGTAGACGGCAGGCCACTTGCGGCGGCGTCACATTTTTTAAGTTACTCTCGCACTTTTACTCCGTGGCTAGATTTGGTAAAACCAAAGGGCAACTTTGCCCCTGACTATACCTGTCTGTGAAACATAGCGCCTTTCATAATACAGTTTTTTTTTTGGGGGGGGTTATTTCACGTAAATATAAATGTGTCATTAGACTCGCCCGACACAGCCAATTAGTAAGGTTTGTCACCTTAACAAAAAGTGCCAATGAGTTACTAGCTCAGCTCACCGGTGTGTTAGAGAGTAAAACTCACAACATTTACAATTCGAGTGCCTTCCTGAGAGCCTTGTGCTATAAGTGCACCGGCGGTACAGCGGTTAGCACACCGCTCTATTGGTTCCAGGCCACGCCTCCACTCAGTCGCAGGTGACATCGGAGCCGCTCCTACCCCTCTCGCTTTCACCAAACCCGCACGAACCGGCGTGGTGAAGTATGGTCAGGGGAAGCCCACGTGGGTAGTTGCGCTCACTGCACGTGGCGCGCGCGGCGGGTGGGGGGGGGGCGGCCGTCGCCCCGTTGGCGGATTGAGATGGGCCGAGCAGCGTGCCGATGCCGTTGTCCCCGCGGCAGGCGACCGGTGTTCTCCTGCATCGGGCTCCCCGAGGAGGAGTCCTCGTGGCGCGACGCCTTTGAGCGCCGCCCCTGGGGTGTCTGCGAGCAGCTGGTGCCCGTCGGGACGCCGCTGCGGGCACACGAGCTGGCCGAGGCCACGACGGGGCTCTACAACTGGACGCTCCCCTACCACGGGTACGTGCGTGCGTGTGTGTAGTATGTGTGCACGTGTGTAAATGTGTGCATGCGTGCGGGGGTGTTTGTGCGTGTGTGTGTAGTATTGTGCATGTGTGTAAATGCGTGCATGTGTGCGTGCGTGCGTGCGTGTGCGTGTAGTATGCGTGCACGTGTGTAAATGTGTGCATGCGTGCGTGGGTGTTTGCGCGTGTGTGCTTGTTTGTTCAGGCTATACGGGGCATATTTGTCTTTTGTGTGTGTGTGTGTGTTGGGAGCGATAGTGTAACAGTTGCGCTATGAACCCGGCCACCCGAGGTTGATTCCTGCTCACGGCCAATACCAGTGATTATCTAAACCGATCCTGGATCTCCCTAAGGTCGACCCAGCCTCAAATGAGTACCCGGTGCGGTGTGTACACATCGACCGCCGAGGAGACAAAGGCGGCCTGGCGTGGTGTTGGCCAGCTACCCCCTCGCATGCCCTGCCTGCCTTTGTAGGTGCTCGCTTACAGCACTTGCTCCTACAGCCTGTGAAGGCTATACGGGGGAGCTTTGTCCCCCGTGTGCATGCGTCACAGAAGCAGGTGGCACTCACTCGGGGAATGTGCGTTTTGTGTCGCAGGTTTGACCCCACCTCTTGGGACCACGTGGCCAATGAAGAGATGTGGCAAGCGAGGCAAGTGGTGTTCTGGTTTAATGGCTTAACGTTGAACGGGAAGAGCGGTGTCCTGCAGGCACACGCTAAGAGGCAGCCGGTGGTGAGATGCAGCCGACATTCACGATCGCTATTCGTATTTGAATCACGTTTAAGTGATGCCACGGCATCTGTAGACGCCGTACAGAGAATCGGTGAACACATGCTGTGAATTACGCAGAAGTCTCGGAGCGCCGTCTGGCCAGATGTTCCTGTGGTTTTTCCCTTTACGGTAACAGTGTTTGCACATCAGTTATTTTTTTCTTTCACAAAATAACGGTGCATTGTTTATTCCAGGGGTAGGGAAACTTTCCCCTACCGAGTGCCACAAAGACAAAAATCTCCCCCGTGTAGCATTTACGGACTGCTGGGGCAAGTGCTGTTAGCGAGCATTAATGAAGGCAGGCATGGCACACGAGAGGGTGGGTGGCCAGCACCACGCCCTGCTGCCCTTTTGTCTCCCAGGTACTCATTTGATGCTGAGTGGACCTAGGGGAAGCCCAGGACCGGTTCAGATAATCGTCACTCGTGTTGGTTGGCTTTGAGCGGAAATTGAACTCAGATTGCTGAATTCGTAGCGCGGCACGCTAACCCCGCTACACTACGGCACCTACACACATACCTCAGCTTTGTCCGGTGGTAGCAATGCAGTGACAGATGGACATCGCTTAGGGTCCGTTATTGAAGTGAGAGAAGCCTCCTGTGGCCACGGGCCGAGCCTGGCCAGTGGGCCAGAGGTTCCCCACCCCTGGTTTGTGCCATAACGGGCGAAACCCTTCCCTGAGATCCACCCGGTTGCGTGAGCCAGCAAGCAAATGGATGAAGGGGGGTCGCGAGGACGGCCGTCTGGAACGCTCTTCATTCCCATATTAGGAAGCCACCGGAGCTATCCACTTTTAAATCATCTAGATTGAAAACTAATTTTTTTTTTGTGTTTAGTTTGTTATCCTTCACTGCATCTCCCAATTAGCACGGTTGGCTCCGTACTGTGCGAAAGAAGTTCAACATTCGCACAAAATACATACAACATGCCTCACGCGGCCATGTCTCTTTGCGGAGCAGGATCAAGACGCCGTTCTACCTGTTCGAGGTGGCCGAGGATGAGCGACTGCCCAGGGAGACGAGGGTCGCCCTCTACGCTCTCAGCTACCAGGTGTCGAACCCCTCACCCCGCACCTCAGCGCGCGCTCGCCACACTAAAGTGGCCTCCTGCGGGAGGAGCCGGTAGGGCCGTTTTTGTGGAGATGGAACACAATTTGGACTTCAGGAGCGTAAAGTGAAACGGAACTAAATGTTTAAAATTGCGCAAAGCAACATGGAGTGGTACGAGCCTGAGAGACGACCAGATGAGCTCGTGGAACAGAGAATAATTGTCACAGATTAGAGGCACCGGATTGATAGTTTAATTAAAGTATGCGGGCTTGGGCAGGGATTTTTAATTGAAGGGACGATGGCCGGTGGTCGAGACTAACGACGGAGTGGCAGCCAAAGGAGGGAACGTGCCCTCGCTCCTTCGAGAGCCGAACCGACGAAGCTCCCGGCACGTTGACTGAAACGTCGGACCTCGCTCCGAACGGCACGTGATGTGACGCGGAAACACGTCGGGAGCGCGCGATGCCCGCGTGGGTGGAACACTGAGCCCGTGTCGTCTCCTCTCCCCCTCTCCGCCCACCTCCCGCCGGCGATGGCTCCAGCTCTACCAGCCGCTGGTGTCCGGCGAGGAGCAGCCGCTGCCCCTCAACTGGCACAAGAACTTCGCGCTGGCGTGCGAGCGCCTTCTGCGCGTCGGGGGGGCGGGGCAGGCGGCGCCGCACGCCGTGCCAGCCGAGCGCCTGCTGCGGGAAGCCGTCGCTCACTTACGCCGCTACGTAGAGGGGGCGGTGGCGGAGCGGGGCCAGCAGGACCTGCAGCTGGAGTCGGTGCGGCAGCTGGCAAGGCACCTGGCCGAAGAGCTGGCACGGCTGCGGCGCGGGGCGGCGATGGCACTAGGAGGAGGAGCAGGAGGAGGAGCGGGAGGGTCCGCGTAGCCATGATGATCGACCCACTCGTACGGACCGCTACACTCGGTCCGCTGCGTCGGTGGGGACGTTCGGTGGTGCAGACGTCTCTGTCGGTGGGCACTGTCGCGGCTCTACCCGAGGGCAGGGGGCGGGTGGCGCCACCCCCTGCTGCCGGTGCGGAATCGAGGTCACTTGAAGGGCTCTTGAGGAAGTGAGTCCGTGATATCCGCTTCCACGGGCCGCTCTCTCTCTCTCTCACGTGGAGGGTTGCACTGCTGTGCGAGAGATCTGGACGGATTTATTCGTCTCGTAACGTGACACCGAAAGTGCCGTGGGGATATAACTGGGAATTTTATCTTTTTTGTCCAGAATTTATATTTTTTGTAAACCACTGTGGCCTTTGCACTGGGAAACGGACGCGTTCGAAGTCGTGTCCAACCGCAGATTTGCCGATGAGCCGATACTGGCCCCTAGTGGTGAGACCACACCACCGCGGCAGTCAACGCAAGCGCGGCTCACGCGGAAAGTCGATTGGAGTCGGTGGCGGCCAACGGCACATCAACGGCTTTGAGTCGGTGGCCTGCACAGCAATGCGACTGCACGGTCAGCTCTTTTGATCCGGCGGTTTCGACAAGGCCGAGAGCATCGTGCGTGCGGTGCGGTGGTCACGTGACGGGCACGGAAGACACACGGATGGGAGAGGTGCCTTCCTGCCCCCTCCGTGAGCAGCAGCAGCAGCACACCTCCGAAGCTCGTTATTTATACAACGCAGACCTCCTTCAAAGAACTCCTCCGCAGAGGGGCGCACGGCACACAAGAGCAGCGTAATCTCGGCGACGTGGCGCTCGTGCGAGGCCGAGATGCCGTCGCAGCCGCTGCGCCACCGTTCCGCCCGCTGTAGATGACTATAGAATAACGATTTCTCACGCGCACGCATCGACGCGGGCATCACGGGTGTACGACTCGGTTGAGCTGCTCTTACATGAAATTATATATGTGAGCACATTTCCATTTTCCACACATGAAAAAATTATTATCTTTAGTCAATCAACCTATTGGCTTTCCAGACCAACATTAAAAAGCTACATTTGTTTCAGAAAGCAAACGCCATCGCGGTTTCCACCTTATGGGTCTCATCGTTAGAGTCTAATTAACGTCCCGTTGCTGACCAAAAGGCCTTTTAAGCTTACCTCCATCCCTCCCCCAGCAGCTCCCATCCAGCCGTGGCCTCAGAATCAGAATGTTTACTTAGACTGTAGGAGGAAACCGATGCTGTTTCCCTCTCTTCCGAAATCCTTCTCCCGGTCTCCACAGCCACCTTCATCTATCCTCCGCTCGGTGGCTCTCCAAACCCCGGGCGATCCGCGCTCTGCGTCGCGAGCCAATTCCCAAGATTCCCACGATTCCCACGGTTCCCACGGCAGCGTTTGTAGAACGCGGGGGTTAAAATTACTCTTCCCCCCCCCCTCCCCCCGCTAATGAGGCGAATGAAAGAGGGCGCCGATAACTTTTGAGCGGCGCACCTCGCGTTTGAATGACTCGCGTCGCGGCGGAAATTAGCGGAGGCCCGTCGCAGGGCCCAAGGCGCCGTGTCTAATTTGGCAATATCACAACGAGCGTAATCTCTCCGATTCACACAAGAGAAACTCCACCGAACGCGCCATTAGGCAAACATCTCCCAACGTTAAATGTCTTCTCGATATCCTGCAGGCAAATGAGATTAAGTGCTAATAGAATATTATAAACAGCATTGCCCCAACCTCATTTGCACAATACTTTAGCACTTGGCCTACAGAAACTAGCAATTTAAAATCAATTATGGGGACTAATAAGATGTGTGTATATATACATCGAGGCATACCTATGGCTGTTTAACACGTAGGCTTTCGTGACTAATATCCACGATATAGGTTTTTGAGTTAGATCGCATAAATATAAATGTGTCGTTAAACCCGCCACCACCCGACACAGGCAATATGTAAGGTTTGTCACGTAAACTAAACGTGCCAATTTGTTACTAGTACAGCACACCGGTGTGTTGGAGAGTAAACCCACTAACTTTTACAACCAGCATCATCAGGCAACAGCCAGAGTTGTGGAGAAATCTTCCTGTTTCGGTATTAAATAACGACACATTTATATTTGCGCGATCTCACCCAAAAAAACCATATGGACGGATACCTATGACTGTCGAGGTGCCAAATGGCGAGCGATAAATCCGGCGCCAAGGAGCGAACGACGTCTCTGTCGCGACACGAGGGACGCTGCTGCCACAGCGGCGAGGGTCACGTGGCTCGACGCGCAATCCGGAGTTCCCGGTTCGACTCCCGGAGATCCCCCGCACGGCTAAATCTCCGCCTCCCGTCCTGCCGGCAGCCCGAGCGGGTGCACCGCCACGATTCGATCGGCAGGTCGCGCCCGTGGTGGGGTAAGCTGTAGCTACTCCCCCCACCTCTTCCTTGATGTCAGGCCAGCGTGGGAGAGGAGGTCGAATGCCCTCTCGAGGGGCTGTCTTGACCTCCCCGTTGCACTCTGTATGAACGGTCATCTTTACTCGGCTGAAAACATCTTCAAAATGAAAGCCCGGTGCAGCAGGAGCCCCCTGAAAGAGTCCTTCGACGACTCGGTGTGGCTTGCCTGGATAAAGGGGGAGATGACTCTTGTTATTTCTCTACTCTAGAGCCTCCGCTGGCCTTTGAGCCCACAGTGGCTTGAGCCAGTCCCTTGTAGAGCTGCAGTCTGAGCGGCAGATGTCCCGCTCGACGTGTACAGCTCGCGAGCACGGCACGAGAGTGTGCTCGCTGCATCTGTTGTTGGTTTCGAGACCGGAGTCTCCCAAAGATGTTCACCTCTCCGCGAGCCGAGTTCCTAAACGCCGCTCAGTTGCGTGATCCTGGGAGTGGCTTTCTCGCAGAACTCGCGTTGATCGTTCCGACGGCCCGAGCGGTGCACGACGGATGATGCCGAGGTGCGGCCTTCAACGAGCCGGCGGGGGAGCTGGCGCGCGTCGCGATAACCGCGTGGGACACGGCGATCCACTTGTAGACACCGCACTCGGATAGCAGCGATGAATTGTAGCGAAAACACAACGCTCGGTTCCCGAAGCCCTCCCGTGTCTCCCGTCCAGTCTCCGATAACGCAGCGGCGCCACCGCTCTGCTCCTCAGTCAGATGTGTTCCGTCTTGCGGCAGCGAGATGGAACCTCTCGAGTGATATTCCAGATGGATATATTTTTTTATTCAATCCCTACCGTTCGGAACTTGCCCGTGTGTACAGGTGTTTGCGGATGATTTTGTCCATCCTGTTGTCGTTGTTGTTGCTGCTGTTGCTGCTGTAACCAAGGTCCCCCGTCGAAACTGAGCATTCCTTGCCGCAGTCGGTTTTACCTGCGGCCAAAATAAAACCTCGGCCTGAAACCTCGAAATCTGTGGAGTATCTGTAAATGGATCGCTCTATGCGCCAAACCCGGGGAGGGGGGCTGTTGGAGGCGGGGTGGGGGGGCTGTTGGGAGTGGGGGGGGGCTATGGGGAGGGGGGGCTGTGGGGGCGGGGGCGGTGTTGGGGGGGACTGTTGGGAGGGGGGGTGGCTGTTTGGTGGGGGCTGTTGGGAGTGGTTGAGGGCTATGGGGAGGGGGGGGTCTGTTGGGAGTGGGGGGGACTATGGGGAAGGGGGGCTGTGGGGGCGGGGGGGCTGTTGAGAGGGGGGGGGGGCTGGAGAGGGCGCGTGGCGGCCCCCACCGTGAGCTCCGTATCGCCGCGCCAGCGACAGCGCGAGGCGTCCTCAGCGGTGTCAATTTATGCAGAGTGCCGTTAAGTCATCACCTCATTCCCATATTTTGTGGCTTATGCATATACCTAACTCTCCATTATGCTTAAATCTTCACTTCCCAAATCCGTCCGTGCCTTTTTCTCCCCATTCTCTTTTTTTTTTGCTATCTTTCTTTCCCCCCCCCCCCCGCTAGCCCCGGCACAGAGGCGAGCTGTCGGCAATACATCAGCGACTTATGGAAGGTTACAGTCTCACATATTAACTGTCAACAAGAGAGTGGGCAGCGGCGGTTAATCCACGGGCTTGGGGCCGGGACAGCCATCCACATTATTTGTCTTGGGATTAGAGGCGCAGCCCATCACGAGCCGGCCTTGAAGGCAAACACCGCCAGCGGCACACGCGATTCGCGGCGTGCAACTCGCTAAAGGCAAAGGTGCCCCGCGTAGCCTTTCAACGGGCTGCCGGGGCAAGTGCTAATAGCGAGCAGCAGCAGCAACACGCCCTGCCTTGGTTTGATGTAATTCGCATCGTACCAGTTGCGCATTTGAGGGCCGAGTCGACCTAGGGGAAAGGGGTCGCGCGCGCGCCAGTTCAGGTAAATCGTCGCTGGTGTTGGTGGCCGTGAGCCGGTAATCGAACCCGGTGCCTCTGCCGGGTTTGTAGCTCAGTGCGCCGACCAATGTGCCACTGCTCTCTCCACTAACAAGTGCACACACGCGAGCGCACACGTGCACTTACACGCACGCACGCACGCGCATGCTACGTTCGAGTCGCATGCATACACTTGTAGGCACACATGGCACTTAAACTTGCACAAACACATGCGGTACACATGCATACAAAGACAAAGGTAAATATCCCACATGACTGTAGGAGCAAGTGCTGTTAGCGAGCACCTACGAAGACAGGGACTGGGTAGCTTGCACTACGTCCGGCCGCCTTTGTCTCCCTAACGACGATGTTTCCACACCGCGCCAGGGAACTCGTTCGAGGCCGAGTCAAGTTCAGGAGAGGTCCAGCAACAGTTCGGATAATCGTCACTGGTATCGACCGTACAGACACTCGCGTGTGAGTGTGCGCGTGCACACGCACACGCGCACACTCACGGCTCACTCCCACGCACGGACTTGAGGGTGGCCCCGCCAAGCCGGTTGCACTCATCCCCCATCTCGCTGCACCCCGGGTCACCTCGCATGCAAATGCGCGCCGCGACGTCGCTAATCGCACGGGCAAATGGAGCCGAGCAAACAGCGCGCGGCGCGGCGGACAGAGCGAGCCGCCTTCAAATCTCTTCTTGTTCGACATCGCTGGACGCGCGCTCGCCCACTGCGTGACTCGAGACGCGAGTTGGTGTCGAGGTGACGTCGCTTTTTGCCAACCTCTTAGAACATTGCCTCCCACGCCTCTATATCGTCCGTCGTACGTCACATCGCTCCGAAGCTGCGCTGCCGAATTGCATCAAAAGCATGGTGGCTGCAATCGTGTTGTCGTTATTGAGTCAAGAACATCATCCCTCCGACGTCGATACGATGGGCGACCACTTTGTGGGGGAGATATCACAAGCGGAATATTTGTGCTGGAGGAATCCGATGAGCTGGAAAGCTCTTTTTCACAGGTGTCCAGTAGGGGCTGATGAGGACGTTACAACAGCAAACAATACTCAAACACGATAGGAGTACAAAGTATACAAAAGGTAAACAAATCACTTAAAGTATACAAATAGAAGTGAACTAAAATAGAGTTTTTTGAGTTAGATCGCATAAATATAAATGTGTCGTTAAGCCCGCCACCACCCGACACAGGCAATTAGTAAGATTTGTCATGTTAAAAGAACATTCGTTACGAGTACAGCACACCGGTGTGTTGGAGAGTAACCCCACAACATTTACAATTCGAGTACGACGTGTTGCCATAATTACAACTAGCATCATCAGGTGACAACCAAAACTCAACTTTATTTTAATCTTACCAGGTAAAGCCCACTGAGCCCTTCGCTTCTTTTTCAGAAACGACCTGACCATGACCGTATTCAGATAGTGTAGGCCCCTGGGCTACAGGTACTGTGAGGGCCCCCAGTAATGTTTTCAAAAGGAAAACAAAGTTAAAGAAAAAATAAAATGTATTTTTACAAGGCTATCAACAAATACAATTCAGCTTTCACAAATGAAATAACTTTTCACTTCAATCTCTGGAGGCCCTCCAGCTGACGGAGGCCTCTGGGCTTCAGCCTCTAAAGCCCCCGGTGCCTTTAATCCGGCCCTGGACCTGGTCACAACAGATAGCTCAACGAAGTGGCTGGCTTATCATGCCCAAATTTACAGCAGCAAAATACTCCAAATCATTCTAGATTTGAAGTTTTCGTGACTGCAAGGATTCATACCCTTTGGTTTTTTCGGTAAAGTCACGTAGGGGGGTAAATTAAATTTAAATAAATTAAATCACGACGTTTCGGGCGCAACACAAGCGTCCTTCTTCAGGTGTGGACAACTTAGCGAAAGCACACCGCTTAAGTGTGTCGAAACGCCCGAAACGTCTCGATTTAATTTATTTCAATGTTTTACCTACGTGACTCCAAATCATGTAAACGCATGCTTCTAAATATCAGTGGTTGGCCTCTGGAATAGATCGACTCGCAGCCGCCCTAGAAATGTGGAATTTCTTCCACCGGCTCACGGCTATGAAGGGGAGATGAGCGTCAAGACCTCACTGCGTATTTGAATTAAAGCAATATTAGACCCCCCCCCCCCCCAGCTACTTATGAGTCGTGAACACTGCCGCGACACATTCTGCAAGCTATAGATGGGTCGAGAGGTCTTGAGCTTGGGTACCCAAATAATTCCACAACAACCATCGTCATCGGCGTAGGCAGCCATGGTCAATCCACTGCTGGATGGATGCTTCCTAAAGCCGCCACCAACTCGCGATTGTGTGAAGTCACCATCCACCCAGCACCGACACACGAGCTGATTTAATCGCTCCATCTCCTCGCTGAACTCCATTAAATATTTGCACAGCAATGACACGGGTATAAGTGTTTAATACAATAGCACGATGACCATGTGTACATAATGTAATTGTATATACTGTAAAAGTATAGTTTTTTTAATAGTACAGAGAACGTGTAATGGCCACCTTGTGTCTATGTTCAACTTCTTTCGCACCCTACATTGCCAACCGTGCTAATCCGATATGCGGGAATCCACACCAGCAAGAGACCCCGCACCTCAGATTAGCACGGTTGGCTACGTGCGGTGCGAAAGAAGTTCAACATAGATTATTGGTCAAGGCAAAGCGTGAATTAAATTCGCAAACCGTGACGAGAAATTGGAATATTATTTCTGGGGCAAAGCATGACATATTTCACCTGCGATGGATTCAGAAAAGTTTTTTTTCTTTTTAAAGCAGCATTCGTAAGGGAACTGATAGAGAGGGGTGAGCGTGTGTGTGTGTGTGCATCACGTGGTGTGTGTGTGTGTGCATCACGTGGTGTGTGTGTGTGTGTGTGCCGGCCGCCATCCTAAACATAATTAGGAAAGTAAAAATGAAGGAGCGATGAAATGCCACTCGCGCACGGTGGGGACACGTGTGTGTGCACGGTGGGGACACGTGTGTGTGTGTGTGCACGGTGGGGTCACGTGTGTGTGCACGGTGGGGACACGTGTGTGTGTGTGCACGGTGGGGTCACGTGTGTGTGTGCACGGTGGGGACACGTGTGTGTGCACGGTGGGGACACGTGTGTGTGTGTGCACGGTGGGGTCACGTGTGTGTGCACGGTGGGGACACGTGTGTGTGCACGGTGGGGACACGTGTGTGTGTGTGTGTGCACGGTGGGGACACGTGTGTGTGTGTGCACGGCGGGGACACGTGCGTGTGTGCACGGTGGGGACACGTGTGTGTGTGCACGGTGGGGACACGTGTGTGTGTGTGCACGGTGGGGACACGTGTGTGTGTGTGTGCACGGCGGGGACGTGTGTGTGTGTGTGCACGGCGGGGACACGTGTGTGTGTGTGCACGGCGGGGACACGTGTGTGTGTGTGTGCACGGTGGGGACACGTGTGTGTGTGTGTGCGCGGCGGGGACACGTGTGTGTGTGTGCACGGTGGGGACACGTGTGTGTGTGTGCATGGTGGGGACACGTGTGTGTGTGTGCACGGTGGGGACACGCGTGTGTGTGTGCACGGTGGGGACACGTGTGTGTGTGTGCATGGTGGGGACACGTGTGTGTGTGTGCACGGTGGGGACACGTGTGTGTGTGTGCACGGTGGGGACACGTGTGTGTGTGTGCACGGTGGAGACACGTGTGTGTGTGTGTGTGCACGGTGGGGACACGTGTGTGTGTGTGTGTGCACGGTGGGGACACGTGTGTGTGTGTGTGCAGGGCGGGGACACGTGTGTGTGTGTGCACGGCGGGGACACGTGTGTGTGTGTGCACGGTGGGGACACGTGTGTGTGTGCACGGTGGGGACACGTGTGTGTGTGTGTGCACGGTGGGGACACGTGTGTGTGTGTGCACGGTGGGAACACGTGTGTGTGTGTGTGTGCACGGTGGGGACACGTGTGTGTGCACGGTGGGGACACGTGTGTGTGTGTGCACGGTGGGGACACGTGTGTGTGCACGGTGGGGACACGTGTGTGTGTG